TTGTTGACCTTTTCTCTTTCAACCCGGGAGCCAATCAGATTGCTTGAAAACTCCGCTGACCTAAAAAAAATTTTGCGAGGGTTTCCCCCTGTTTTGATGTGAGGCAAAATTTTAAGCGCCGCTATAATAGCAATATAGCCGCTGCTATCATCAAACTTCCCCCAGGTGCTAGAGCATGCCTTACTTACACCACCTAGCTTTAAATTCTGGCATTGAGACTCTCAATCATCACTAAAGTAAGTAGCGGTAACCAAGTGGAGGCGGCCTATCTACCTCCTAGCCTCGGATAAAGTCTTGTTGAGCTTCAGGGATAGGCACATCCACACAACGTAAAAAAGATATGCTTCAAAAAACATAACAATAATAAAAGAAAGGAGCATAATACTATAAGAGTATAGTAGTACGTAGGGAAAAAAAAGGACACTCACAAAAAGTGGATCAAAGAAAAGCATATCACAAATACAATATCAAAGATATTCAAAAAAGCTCGTTGTTGTTGCAACAAAAATGCATACATGAGCAACGTGCATGGTAGTAATAGTCGGATGTAAAGCAACACAAACACGCACAACAACTGCAAAAGCAACAGTAGTGGTATCATAAGTTTGCAATACAACATAATGACTAATGTTGTTCCATGTGAAGCCACAGAGGAAACAAAACCAGCAAAAGAAGAAGAAGGCGATACAAAGAAAACATCATGAATGCATTATCATGAGAAAGGAAGCAATAATACAAATGTTCAAAGAAGCTTTATACCATTGCAACCAGAAGAAAGAAGATACTTACCACTTACCACAGCCACAGATAGACCAGAGAATACGCAAACACCGGATATAAATCAGAGAGAGAGCATGCACCAAAGACAGTAGACCAGGAAAGACCAGATTAGCAGCAGCAGCAGCACCACCACTGCAGAAAAACCGAAGAATGAATGACACCAGAGACCAGACAAAGACCAAAGAAGCAGATAGCAGAGATAGCAGAGAAGTAACAGCAGCAGCACCCACGTCAAAAGACAGAAAAAAGTATCGAAACCTAATAAACAAATTCGATTAGTGCTGATTTTACGTCTTCCAATGCTCGTTATCGACTGGTACCTAATATATTCCACTTCACAGAAGCAGTATCAGATATTTATAACATTGCAAGGCCGTGTTATCAGAAGTTAGAATGTTATTTTCAATTAAAAAGGTTCCAAAACCAATATTGTATGATATTAAACGCGTTTTGCAAAAAAGGGTAAAAAAAAAGGGAGATACGGAGAAATGAGAGGGCGCCCTACTCGACGTCACGGCCAGTAAATTTAGTCTCAGCTTTCTGCCGTGGCAGCTGCAACTGCTGCGCTTTAACTTGAAATTGTGTAGTGGGTATTTTCGTGTTCAAATTTGACTTGAATTTACATTCTTCAAACGTTTTTGCTTAATTCGACTATAAAAATTGCCGTTATTATACTTTACTTTCTAATGCATTTATAAAGAGTCAATGAAGGCGCATCGAATAATGTTGGCTACATTTAGCTTTTAGACTGAAAATAACGAGCAATTCGCAAAAATATGAAAACAGGTTTTCTGTAAATGTGTCAACACTTAGCATATACAAATCTCATAGAAAGAGCCTTTAATGTTGCATTCCATCTTTACGATCAATTTGATCTAATATGTATCATAGTAAAAGTCTTCATTTTTGGGGTGAAAAACGCGATCATTTGTTTTTCAAGAATTTTTCCTTGCTAGTACTCACAAAAAAGTAAGGATTTTCATGGATTTGCAATTACCCAAAAAAAAAGTCGAGATAAAGTATCAATAAGTAAAGCGCAATCAAGAGGAGCCACTTGGTGCTATTCCAAGCGCTCAAAACGCTTCGTAGCATAAGTTATTCGTGCTTGAAATTGGCTAGATATGAACGGATTTTGACCTAAAAATAAGATGTAGTAGGTTGTGTTGCCAAAATCATACGTAAATTACAATTTTACCTGATGACCCTGGTATTTTGCAGTGTACGAAACTCAATTCCTAAGTGATAGAAGCGTTTATTCTAATTCTAGAGCGCATGTTGTGCCAGAAGGGCTACAACTGTCTATAAAGATTAAGGTACTTTTGATGGGTAGATATGTCTGTGTTGTGCAACAACATGGACAAGCTATGATAATTGAAGTGCATCTCAGCTATCTAGATGCTGAGGTTCACCAGATGTAATAAGCGTTGTAAAAGATAAACTGCTACTTTGGCATCCATAACTTAGTATAAATAGAATAACTCTTGTCTTCATCAATAAATCTTTAGTTTTTGTGTCTGATCTTATTCAAATAAGTCTTTTCTTGTTTTTATAATATCGAACATTTTTTATAAGCTACAAATAATAATCCTTTTATTCTTTGTGCTTAACACTATCCACGATGTTGGATAAAACTCATAATAATTATTAAGGATAAATGGCTATTATTGGACATGTTGTGTCGATGTCAGCACGATGTGGGAACAAACAACAAAGTTATATATCAAAATCGACTAAACAGAGATTCATAATATCTATAAACCCTGTGATACAAGAGTCGACATCAGCAAACTGTAGTGAAATCGAATTTAAATGGATTCACGGAGCTACACGGCCGAAAAGATCAGCTTCAGCAAAATTATTCAAAATCAATTGCTCGGACGCTAATGTTTGCTACAGTAGTGGCGCATATAAGTTTTATGTTGCGCGTCGACATTAGCCAATACACGCTCTGAATTTAGTTTATCGACTTGAACACCGTATGGACGCTTCTATGCTGTTGTTATTGGAGAAAGACGTGTTTTTGCCATGGTAACCTCCAAATTTGGGAGTTAAAACTCGATTCTCTGATTGAAAGCATTGCAATAGGTGCCCAAATGAGATTTTATTTTGTAAAGCAAACACAAGGAGCAAAATTTAGTTGATAATAGAATAGAAACTTCGTTAAACTGGCAGTTGTACTAATAATAGTGTCGGAACACTGGATTTTTCCATATTATATACCGATTACCTTTACCCTTTGTACGGTCGCTTAATTATTTGACAACCAATGTAGCGATTGAAGATCTGTTTATATGTTTAGAGACCTCCAACCCCGTATAAAGTAGGCATATAACCTTCCAGATAAGAAGACTTTAGCTTCAGCATAGGGCGTAGAAAAGTTGCTCCTCGTTCTTGGTAAAATGGGCATCATAGCTTAAAAATTTTGCCAAACCACCAACAAAGCAAGGTATTATCAAGTAGCTTTAAATACAGCGCTTTCCAGCGCCTCATCTATTATTGATCGACTATTCGTGATGGCTTGTAATTAACAGGTTCTTATATGTAGTTCATTGCTCATAACTGGCCATTTTCAAAAGCCCTATATTTCTTAGCAACTACCTATCCAATTTAAAATCCTACACCAACACTTTTCTCGCAAAATTTGGCTGTAGGAGCATGCTACTTTCAAAAAAGCTCTGGAATCAAAGTCTCAAAGCTTAATTTTGGAAGGTTTAAAGTTGGAATCGAGAATTGTTTTGCACATCCAGGACTTGACGTGTGGTTTAAAAAAAAAGTACACGACAAAAAAGAAATATATATTAGACCTATGCTAAACAAAAAGCGCAAAGCATCACAATCATCCAACCCCAACCATCATGTTGGTGAGTATCACCTTTCTTCCATCTGGTCTCTTTTTTTAATTAGCTAAAATTGAGTCGAATTTACGAGCTCGCGTTTATATTCATGAGCCGTATGATCCACGGCACTATTGCGGTCGATTACACGCTCTTAATATGAAAGGTGCTCTTCCTAGAATCTAAACAGAACGGTATTCCATGAAAAAAGATCATATGTACAGCTCTACTGTTTCTTAGCGGTACTCATATGCTGAAAAAAGTAGGTAAGTTATCGGCGGGAGCTTACCAAGCCATAGTTTCGTATACAGTGCTAACAAAGAAGACTGGTACTCTGCCAATGTTGGCGGCAAGCAATTCATTTTTCTGTTCTCTTAGAAAGGTTGTGTGGAAAAGGCAAGCTGCAGTGTTTGGTATGATTATAGCACTCGACATTAAAACGCAAGATGCAACTCAAAGTATCCGAGTGTCACTCAAATGTCGTAAAACTGTTCAATATTGCCGACTTGTTGGACGAAAGCCAAAGAAACATTATTCTGCATGTTAGCACTGGCAACTGATGACACAATTGAGTGAGGACAAGCCTAATGACTCCGCATGCAAGAAAGGCAATCGCAAAGCTGATCTGTTGAGAAAGAATGCGCTCAAGTGCTGGCTACATCTCCAAGAACGAGGTCTTATTTATTGATATTGAAACCAGACGGCCTTTACGTGGCTACTGAAGTTTGCACTATCATGACTCCAACGTCAATAGGTAATCTTCCTTTTTTTTTTTTTTTTTTTTCATCACCCAGCTAGCTTGATAGTTTGATGCATCTGCTTATAATAACTTGCGCATCAAACCTCATGAAGCAAACAACATTTATGTGTATAAACAAAAATTTAACAAACACCTTGTCAAGCTATATGTATCTCTAATTTTTACCGCATTCTTCACCTATACTTCTGTAATTTACTCTGTTTATGATGGACAATACAGTGGGGTTAGGGTCCTGAATGTTGTAGTCCCTGTAACGGCAACCCGGCATCATAACCAAGCCGTGCCATGTATCATTTTCAACATACTAGCACGAAACACATAGTAACACAACAGCGCGCAGTTGCATAAAGTGTCCTACCGATTCAAAAACATACTGCTCATAATGTATTAAACTCGGCAGAATTATAAAAAACGAATCTAATTCAATTTTGATTTAGACTCAGGATGGTACAGAGGTATATTTTCGTGAGAAATGGTTCTTTATACAATGCAAATAGGCATCAATTTATCCAGGTGCCGATCAATGAGCTTACATCATTTCCAATGAAACATATAAAAATGATATTGCAGAAATAACCCATTCTTCTTCTCTGTCACTCGAATAAACAAAAGAATAATAATAAAAAATGGCGCCATTGGAAGTTATTGGAGCAGGATTTGGTAGAACAGGAACTGATAGTCTTCGCACTGCTTTGAACATGTTGGGGTGTGTAATCCATTCGCCATATTGCGCAATATTCATGCAAAAATGACTAATTGTTAACATGAACATTAGATACAAGACACACCATATGAAATCATTCTGGGAGGACCAGGAAATGAACCCTGATGATTTCTATGAAGCGTACATGCACAGGGATCAAGCTGACTGGGACAAGATATATGCCAACTACGATGCCGCTGTAGATTGGCCCACGGTTACATTTTACAAGGACTTGATCGCCAAGTATCCTGAAGCCAAGGTGTTGCTTACCGTGCGCAGTGCTGAGAGTTGGTATAAATCAGCCAAAAACACCATCCACAAATCTGCTTCCGTAGGCTTAACAGCTCCTGGCGATTCACCCATGGCAAGATTCACAAGAATGACGACTACTGTCTGCTTGGATGGTCTTTTTGCAGATAAGGAGGCATTCGCTGATGAGGAAAGAGTCAAAAAGATTTACTTGGATCACATTGAAGATGTCAAGAAGACTGTACCTGCTGAAAGACTCTTGATCATGGAGCTTGGTGAAGGATGGACAAGAATGTGCAATTTCTTGGGAAAAGAGATCCCAAAGGAGCCTTACCCAAGCACAAATTCTACTGAAGAGTTTAGTAGGATGATTAAAGCTTTTGAGGATAATCCTGAAACACGTACTCTTCCTGATCATTGTTGGAGCAAATAAATCAAATAAACAAATTTGAGCCGTACAGTGTCTGTTCGTGATTTGGCTAAATTCACCTAAACTATGAATGCGTGTTTGTAAATAATTTTCTGCCTAAATGTAGAATCTTTGGGTTTAAGCGCACGCGCTTGTATACGCATGCAACAATTATACAATAAATATATGGTGAGGAATTACAAGGCTGCCAGGAACTTGAATATGGCAGCCATACATGAGCATGAAATACTTGATCAGGCCCAGATTCACGATTTCCATGCGTTGCAGAAGAAAATCACTCTACAGTTTGGAATCCATCTATGCTCTTGCTAAAATACTGGAGAGCATGTCGACAATGATTTGCAGTATTTGCATGGCCGTTGATGTAGATCTTTCCATGCATCTTTTTGATTTTTGAAATCTAACCGCTTCATGATGTGTATTGAAAAAAAAAGCTTCTTTTATAGCTCAAGGCACTAGATCTTTTGGTAAATCAAACAAGAGGGACGATGCAAATCAGTAGAAATCTGGATGCCATCATTGTTAAGGGCTTTGAGCCTCTTTTTTGGATAAACCACGTTTATTTTTGGGCGGTTGCCACAAAATTAATAGGTAGTACAATAGCAGCAGCAAGTGCAACCACCATATAGTCATAAGAGGGGAGGGGGCGGTTTTCATTTAGTTGTCTCTTTCTCCTCTTTTCACCTCCATCATAGCAACAACCATGTTGTTAGAGAGCACTGCAGATGCGACTATTGAGAACAACTTTTGGGTATAAAGTTCAGGACAAAGAGAACCAAAAGCCATATTACTCAACATTCATATGTAACTCTGTCTAGTCTCAAGATAAACTTGCGCTCAACATATTACTAGGCAAACTCGAAGCATCGAATCAGTCTACGATCGCTATACAAAACTATTTCGCAAAGAGGTACGCTTTTACAGGCGTATATGGATAAAGCAGTTGATGATTGAACACCTCTGTTTACAGAGCTCAAATAGAGGAAGCGTACGGAAATCAACTACTCGAACTAGCAGAATCGTCGCATCAAATAGAAGAATGCTTTAGCACCATTTTGACTTCATCAGAGATGAGTGCTAGAGCACATGTAGATTTGGGGCAATATATACGAAACATGCTGGAATTACCGCTCAAAAACTATCTCGCAGATCAAGAAAATATAAAGATGTTTGTAACGTATGAAAAGAACAAAATGTAACACGCAGAGGCTCATAATTAAGACATTTTTTTGGGGGGGCTATTATATAGACAAGTAGCCAGATGATAGAAACGCAAAGTTTGAGGCAATTGCAGATAGAGCGTATAGAAGAGGTACAACATAGTGCGAAATGTGTGTGTTCATTTCATGTGCACTTAGCATCATTGAATAGGCGCGGCAACGGTATGTGGATGAATGTCAGAATCCAAATGCTTCTTTTGAGAGCATTGACGTTCTAGACTGCGAGTACCAAAGATCGATACACGAAATGCGATCGAAATCAGCGCATTGGATAAACGAATGGCGAGAATCTTGCAAGACATTTCAATCACTTGAACTGCAGCGGATGGACTATTTAAAAGCAGTGATCAAAACGCAAGTATACACAAGAAGAAATGAAAAGCAAATGTACTGATGGTGAGGCCATGTAGATTTTCAAGTATGATGGCATGTACATTCAACATAGATGACCAAACGTGTGAGAGAATGTTGATTACGATGGAAGATTTCGAAGCAAATCATGAGATGATGAATTTTGTAAAAGGTCACCGGACAGGATCCAGCATACCTGGTATGTTGCTTGATGAGGGCAGTTGATGTATTGTAGACACTCATGCTTTGTTCATTTACCCAGCTATTCCAAACTACAAGAAATTTAGCCAACCTCTAGATATGCAACGGAAAAAGGTGGCAGCACCGCCTCTGTTGACTGAAAAACGGACCATTCGAGAGATCAATATACCCATCAAACAGGATGAAGAATTGCGATCTGTAAATGATCAATTAAAGAAAAAGGTACCCACTGTCAGCAACCTATGGGAACAACAGCAGCATGCTCCCGATGACAGTGGTAGCAGCAGCGGTAATGTGCATCCCTATCCTCTCAATCCAATCTACAAATCCAACAAGAAATCACCATCGCAGAGTGATCCCGTACTGAACAATTGGTACGACAATTTCCAACAGGCAGCTACCTCGCACACAACAACCACATCCCCCACTTCTCCCACACCAAAGAACAAATCAACGCTTGTAACACCACAAGAGAAAGCCGAGTACATTCAGCACATCAATCACTCCAATGTGACGCCTACCAAGAAACCATCGCTATTGCTGTCATCGATAGGCTTTTTTAAAAAGAAGAAGAGTGCTACTGCAGATAATCCACGCAATAAAAAGAGATTGTCATTGAGCCATGCAGCGACGGATTCACTCATACCAACAACAACACAGACACCAGCCCTCCACCATAATAAACAGCAACCACTGGACGAACCTCCAAGTCCAATGTTTAGTCCTATTGACTTTTACTACTCGCCTGCTGTCATTGATAGAAATTTGAAAACAGCAACGACTGGCATCATACCTCCTCTTCCACCACCACCAGAACCACCGGCACCCACATCACCCTAACTTTTATATATATATATATACCAACCTAATAACAATAAAAACACCACTCTATGGTAGGCCTATTTATTGCTGCTATGCTTGATCATACAGTACCGTATTCACTGTGCCCAATATAAAACTAGCCAGATCTTCATCTTCAAAACTCCACTTTACACACACCGTCTGCACATTCTGAAGCCATAGTGATACACTTCGCACAATGATGCTAGCAGTTTGGCGTTCAATGGAGCACGTTTGGCCTACAGTTCTTGCTAATGCGACTTGCAGTAGATCCAGTACTCTTCGCTGAAGGTCTTCTGTAATGGATTCTGTGTGTGCCATGTCGGATAGCAGTGTAGAAATTTGAAATCCTTTTTCTACTTGGAAATACAGCTCTCGGCGTTGTTGTTGCTGTTGTTTTTCAGTGCTTGCAAATGCGTCTGATTTCACAATTTCAATAGAAGGCGCTGTTTGTTGCTGTTGTTGTTGCTGCTGCTGCTGTTGTTTATTAGCGTTGTTGTTGAAATGCATCAACAACGTGGCATTGATCGGCACTGATGTATTTGGTCTGGATGGCGCTGTCGCTGAGGAGGGTATCTTGTTGCTATTATTCAGCAGAGATTTCAGAAGGTCTGTGCTGATTTTGGCTTCGAGTGCTCTGCTGGTCTCCATCTTTATACTGCAGCCATTGGCAGGCATGTAACAGGCTATACCAAACTCCTTCATGATATTGCTTCTCAAAAAGTCCATCTTTCCACGTTCGCCATGTACCAACACCACGTTTCTGGGCTCACACATGCGAATCAGTTGCATGATACCTTTGGCGTCTGCATGTGCACTGAAGGAGAGGTTTCTTACTTGCAAGTTGACTTGTATCTGCGTGAATTTATCGACTTCAATGAGCTTCTGTCCCAGCAACACCTTGGCACCGACTGTGCCAGCGACACAATATCCCGGCATAATCACCATGTTCTTTGGATCAGGTGCCCACTTGGTAAATACCTGCAGCGACGTACCCGCATTCAGCATGCCCGGTGTAGCAAATAGCACCATGGGGCCCTTGTTGTCCAAGTACTCTTTTTTCCACGCCTTGATGTGCTTGAAGTCAAACGCATTTCTCTGTGCAAAGGTGGACTTGATCTTTTGATTTGTCCAATTGATGAATAGCTTGTAAAACTCGGTTGCTCTCTCAGTAAGTCCAGTGGAAAAGTAGATGGGCACGTCCAGACCCATACGATCCCAGTAGGATTCAATCAAGATACACAGCTCTTGTGCACGACCCAAGGCAAACACAGGGATAATGACATTACCACCATTGGCCACACAGTCATGCACCTTTGTTAGAAAGTCTCGCTCACGGGAACGCTTTGAATCACGGATGGTGGTCGCATACGTGCTCTCGGTAATCAAGACATCAGGTCTCACTTTATCGATCCAGGCACTGCCCAAATGTCGATCCGGCGTCATATTGTAATCGCCCGTGTAGACAAGCGACTCTTGGCCCACTCGAATGTAGATCATAGCAGCACCCAGCACATGTCCAGCATAGTATGCCTTGATCTCAATGTCGTCGTCTACTTTGAGTGTCTGGTGCAAATTGATGGGAATCACCTTTTTCATGCAGTTTTTGATCATGGCCGAGGTAAAGAAGTTGGTTTCGCCCTTTCGCTCGACAGTAATCTTTCTGTAATCCTCTAGCAATATGGGACAAATGGCTTTGGTGGGGTGTGTCATGTAGATAGGGCCATCGTATCCACACATTTCAGTGAAAAACGGCAAAGCGCCACAGTGATCCAGGTGAAAATGAGAGATAATGACAGCGTCTAAAATGTCAGAGTAGTTGCCAGTCTTGGATATGTAGCTAAAGTCTGGAAATCGTCTTTCGTCTTGATAGCCCATGTGCATGCCTGTTGGAAGCTGTTTTAGCTTGCTGGAGGCTGTGTATTCAAAAGTTACTTACCGCAATCAAGCATGATGTTTTTACCCCCAATGGTGACTAGGATGCAACTTCTTCCAACATCCTGTCCTGTAGACAGCCATATGAGCTTCGCTGATTGAGCATCCATTGATTCGACTTACCTGCTCCTAATGGCACTACTTCAATGGGCATGGTTTGGGATAGATGTAAAGAGAAAAGAAAGCTTTGACGTTCCGAATTCAAGTACATGTTGCATTTGCTTCACTGCTTCCTAGTCACACACAATCACTGCTTTAAAAGAGGACAAGCTCATCGCATTCGCATTATTCTTTTATTTCACTTTATATCTTTTGCAAAAAAACAGGTAAAAAGAAGCACTCTGTCAATCTAAGACTTGGACTGACACACAACATGGAAGAGCAGGTAGCATGTCACAACAAGGCACAAACGCGTATATGGTTGCCAACTTGTTGGAGAAGGTAATACCCATAACGTAATGCAGACCTGTGTGTACTCATTCATTGTAGATGAGCAATCAAGACAGAGATTTCCGTTACATGGCTCTCAATGATTTGATGAACGAGCTTCAAAAGGAATCATTCCATATGGAGGCCATGATTGAAGGAAAGGTCGTTAAAGCGGTACTGTTACTCATGGATGATAAGAATGGCGAAGTACAAAACTTGGCCGTCAAATGGTAAGTTGTCAGGCAGGCGACTGTACCGTACTCTCTCAACTCATGCTGGCCTACGACTAGCTTAGGGCCATTGGTGAAGCAAATCAAAGAAGAGAATCTGTTGCATATCATTGATCGTTTGAGTGAGTACGCATCTCAGCAAAAGAACGAGGAATTGCGTGGCATCGCCAGTGTTGGTAAGTCCCATCCCCTTTTAGCTATCATTTGACTGAACTGACTCATTGGGCATGGTAGGCTTAAAGACTGTAGTGAGCGAAGTGGACTCTATTCGAGGCAACCAAGTGTGCACTCGCATTTTCCCCAAGCTGTTGACTACCATTCAAAATGTAAGATACATCTATTGCATAAACAAGCGAATAGAGGGCTGATACAGAGCGATATAGACCGATGCCTCCTTTGAAATGCAAATGGATACATTAGAAATCTTGTCTGAACTGCTGGCTCGATTTGGAGGCCAAATTACCCTGGAGCAGCAGACCCAAATCCAGTCTGTCTTGTTGCCGTTACTTTCTCATAACCGTGCTGCTATTCGCAAGAGAATCACAGTGTCTATCGGCTATCTAGTTGTGCATACAAACGATGAATTGTTCAATCAATTGTTCACTTTTATCATGGATGGCTTAAACAACAATGCCAATTCAAGTGAGAAACTGAGGACTTTGGTGCAATGTGCTGGTGTATTGAGGTATTATGGCCAATGGAGCCCCTTTTGATATGGACAAATATCTAACATACATACATACATAGTCGTTACAACACTGCTCGCTTAGGCAAGCACCTAGCTCAAGTCATCCCCACCATTGTCAACTACACCGCAAAAGCCGAAGAGGATGATGAATTGCGTGAAATCTGCCTTCAAACATTGGAATCATTTGTGCTTAGATGTCCAAACGAAATCTCAACCTTCATCAACGATATCACAAGGCTCGCATTAGAATATGTCAAGTATGACCCCAACTTTGTCCAAGATGATGATGAGGAGGACGAAGAAATGGAGGAGGAAGAAGAGGACGAAGAGGACGAATACGATGACGAAGTTGCGTAAGTACTGTCTGCCATTGCTGTAGACACTTACATACACACACATACACACACTAAGACAACTCTCTAGTGATTACTCTGACGACGATGATGACATGTCCTGGAAGGTGCGTCGCTCTGCTTCCAAAGTCTTGTGCGCCGTCATTGAAAGCAGGTCAGATTTATTGCAACAAATCTATGAAGATGTCGCTCCTGTGCTTATCAGTCGCTTCAAGGAACGTGAAGAATCTGTGCGTGTGGATATCTTGCAGACATTCATTGCACTCTTGAGACAAACAAGCGTGTATGGCGGTGCTTCTTCAGGCGATGATCGTCCCCGCAGAGGCAGTGTTACCAGTTACGGTGATCAAATCGACCTCATACCCGACAGCCCTGCCAATGGCTCCAGCAGTGATACCGCCATGGACGCCATAGATGGCCCCAGACAACTCTTGAGATTGCTCGTTCCCAAAATCAGTCGTGCTCTGGTCAAACAGCTTTCTGCCAAATCGACTCAAACTCGCCAAATCGGCTTCCACTTGTTGCGTGAGCTCATTGTGGTTCTCCACGGTGGATTGGATGACCAAATCGAGCTCTTCTTCCCTGCTATCGAGGCCTCTCTTTCCAATGCGGCTTCTGAACAGCAGCAACACGCTTCTTCGTCCAACCTCAAGATTGAAATCCTCTACTTTTTGAGATTGTTTTTCCACAACCGTCATACCGAAAACTTGGGCACTATGATTGACCGTCTGGCTCCTGCTGTCATCAAGTCTGTCTCTGATCGCTTCTACAAGATCACCTCTGAAGCCTTTTTGGTTTGCATTGAATTGATCAAGATCATTCGTCCCATCCATCGCGAGCAAAACGGCCAGTACCAAATTGCTGATATTGCCCCTGACAACGTCAAATACATCAACCAAATCTACGAGGTCACCTTGAACGTTTTGAATACCAGTGATGCGGATCAGGAAGTCAAGGAGAGATCTATCATGTGTCTGGGCACTTTGCTGGCTCAAGTAGGTGACGTACTTCAATCGCAACAAAGACAAGCTTGGGATGTCCTGTTGGAGAGATTGAGAAATGAGGTCACTCGTTTGATCAGTGTCAAGACTTTGAATGTTGTTTCTCAAAGCCCCATTGCTGCTGGCGAAGAGTTACAGCGTTGTGTTCTTGTTGCTGTGGAGGATATCTCCTTGTTGCTTAGAAAGAGCAACCGTCCTTTGAGAATTGCTAGTTTGGAGTGCTTGAATGTCTTGGTCAATAGGTAAATGCATCAATGATAAAGCAATGATACTATGGACACACACACTGACACTAGGATACGATAGGTTTGGCCAGCATGTCTCTGCCAAGAGCTACTCCACCTTGTTGCATGAATTGAAGCCATTGATCTCTGATAGTGATCTTCATCTTCTTCCTCTCGCCTTAAAGACAGTGGAATCCATTTTGAGCCTCAGTCCTGCTTCTGTCAATGAAGTCAAATCCTTCATCTTGCCTTCCTTGTTTCAATTGATGGAATCTCCCTTGTTGCAAGGCTCTGCTTTGCATGGCTTGTTGAGCATGTTTGCTGCCTTTGCCAGGGCCAGCCCTGCTGATTACCAATCATTGGTCCATGGTCTCGTTGATCCCTTGTTATCTGCCAAGGCGTCTGCTGGTGTGTCTGCTGGCGGTGTCGCTGCTGTTGCCAACAAGCAAGCTGCTTCGACTGTGGCTCAATGTGTAGCTGTGTTGGCTGCTAATGCCAGTGACAGCAACCGTGATACCACAATCCGTGAATTCCAAAACTACCTTATCACTCCCAATGTCAATGACTCCGTCTTGTATCTTGCACTCTTGACCATTGGTGAGATTGGCCGCAGAATTGACCTGTCTGCCTATGATAAGGTGGACGAACTCGTCATCAACATGTTTGTCTCACAATCTGAAGAAGTCAAATTTGCTGCTGCATTTGCTCTAGGCAATATCTGCGTGGGTAACATTCACAAGTACCTGCCCTCCATTGTCACACAGATCAAAGAACAGCCCAAGAGACGCTACTTGTTGCTGCATGCGCTCAAGGAAGTCATTACCCGCTACGATGAGGATAGCGAAGGCAACTCGCTCAGTTCTGCCGCTGATGAAATATGGGCTCTTTTATTGGAAAGCAGTGAATCAGATCAAGAGGAGGGTACTCGTACTGTGGTTGCTGAATGCTTGGGTAAATTAGCCCTGACAGATTCCCAAAAGTTCTTGCCTCAATTGGAGGATCGCTTGGCCTCTCCCTCTGCTTTTGTGAGAGCCACTGTTGCCACTGCCATCAAATACGCTGTTGTCGATCCTTCTCCCGAATACGACGACTTGCTGAAGCCCATCATGACCAAATTCCTGTCTCTTTTGGAGGACACTGACCTGAATGTGCGTCGTTTGGCCTTATTGACTATCAACTCTGCAGTGCACCGCAAACCCTACTTGATTAGAAACGTGCTCGATCAACTTATTCCCTTGCTCTATGCTGAAACCATTGTTAAAGAAGAGCTCATTCATACTGTGGAGATGGGCCCTTTCAAGCATAAGGTTGATGATGGTCTCGAGATTAGAAAGGCAGCTTATGAGTGCATGTACACACTCTTGAGCACTTGCCTAGACAAAATCGATGTCTATGGATTCCTTGATCACATTCGGGCTGGTTTGGATGATCAACATGATATCAAGATGCTCGCTTATTTGATGCTGATTCGACTCAGTAAAGTGGCTCCCACTGCGGTATCTCAACGCTTGGACGATCTCATTGAACCATTCAAGGCGACATTAGACTTCAAGATGAGAAGCAATGCTGTCAAGCAGGAGGTCGAGAAGAACCAAGAATTGGTTCGCGCTGTGCTCCGTTGTATTGTCGCTTTGAGTCCCTTGAGTGATCCTATTGTCTCTCCTCGATTTGAACAGTTTGTTATTGCTATCAAGAATGGTCCTTTTGCAGAGGAAATCAAATTGACCATTATTGAAACAGAGAGTCGAGAAAACAGATTTGCTGATTATATGGATTTGTCGTATTAGCTGTTGTGTGTATATTAAATAAACAAAGGTCGATTTTCCGCCAAGATTTGCAAATACATGAGCAAAGGATAGTGATTTTTATGATAGACTCCAAGTGTTTTTATATAATACGAATGTTTATGCTTCGGATGACTCTGTACCTTCGCTTCACTTCAGTGAGAACCAACCTACGTAGCGGCAACTCGCGCTACCGATTGCCGTTGCTCATCTTATTAAATACAGCTACTTTCATTTTAATCCTTTACTTACACATGAAACCCCTTCATATTATCTGTGGATCAGATTCTTATGTGATACTATACATCCATATACAGGTAGCTACTTCATATACGGGCAAGCAGCATACTGGTATTTCCCCTTTTTAGTCCTTAGTGTCCCTGATACAGCAAAATCTGAGTGTACTTGAGTTGCGTTTTCTTGCGTTCAAGGCCGTTTTAGGGTTGTCAGAATAGCACCAAACAATTGCTCTCATCTGGCAGTTACTTATCACCACTAATGCTCAACTTTTTGGGGTCCAAAAAACATGGCCAAAAATCGGTCAAAAAGCATGAGGTACCCCTCATGGTTTTTATCAAAAATCAAACGATCGCGTTTTTCATCTTGAAAATGAAGACTTTCACTATGATATATATCAAATCAAAATGTTTCTCTCGATCCAAAGCAACCTCTGAAACTACTTTTATGAGGCTTTCATATGCAAAATCTGACTATTTTCGCTAAAAACCTCATTTCAAGTTTTACCAAATTGCTCAATAATTTCAGTCAAAACACTTATTACAGTTAGTACCATTGGAAGCGCCTTGAAAAGTACTTCAAGAATGTATTAGGAAGCCTAGGGCGATCATCACAATTTGTATAGTCGAATGTCACAAAATGAATTAAAGAAGTCGAAAAAGACAAAATCCGTCCAATCTTGAACAGAAAAAATAAAGTGAGCTTCAATTGATTTCAGCAGGCGGCGCTGCTGCTGGCTGACTCAAATGCCTTTCTGATGATGACAATGATAATAACAATGATGGTTGCGATGCTGATCAACTGGAGATTATGGAGTTGAAAGGACAATTTCTTGGCCTGAATAATTTTTTTTTCTTGGGAGTTTTTCCCTATGAAAATGCCCTTTGCAATGACAATATCTCAAAACAGTCGCTATAGATCTTACACAAATCCTGTATTTACTTATGGCCAGCTTTATGCTGCCATCTCAAGAGCAGCATCAGCGAATGGATAACTTCGTCTCCTGACTCTGATATAACCCCTTTTTTTTTTTACTATTAATTTGTCGCAGTAACATGATCCAACTTTTTTTTGAATATTGATTGTTTGTAAATCATTTGATAAGGATGTTGCAAAGGAAGCTATTTTATAATTTTGACCTAGGCATTGCAACATTCAAATAGTGTGCATTGAAGATATATATATGTGTGTATACGTATATTATCTGCGTTTATGAAAAGCAATGATGAGAAAGGGGAGCTGTTGGTAGGGTAATTGGTAAAACGTGGCATCGTATGCATCATTTACAAATTTTGTATTTTACATTCTATAAATATTTTTTTAGGGAGTGGATATAATAGGAGAGCATGAGTGATGGTGATAATAAAAGGAAATGCATTGACTGTTCTATGTCGGCGACGCTTCTTGGGAATAAGGGCTTTCAATCATTTGTAATGGATTTGCTATCTCTATTATTACTAAATTCCTCGTACACATGTTTGTTGCGTTTTTGGCCACAATAAGCTGTATTCAAAACAGATACTCAACAAACCATATTGCGCATTATAGTAGCATGTTTGTCCCTGTTCCAATAAATGTCTACTGAAAAATCTTGGTACAGAAAGCAGCGTTTGAATTCTCAAATCAAGATCATGTGTTTTACAATTTTGGAGAATGAAAGATGCACGAGTCTCTCATGTATCAACCTTATTAAGCTTGTCAAACGTGAAATCAGATAGATTGTTTTGGGGTGTGATGTACTCTACCCATTGTGCCATCCATTGACAAGATTCTCCTGTGTGGCGAGTTGACAACACAATCCATGATGGAATTCCATTTCGGCTTGTATGAAGCTAGAGACCGCTATCAACAGCGACTCCTACATGTCGAGACAAGCTCATCGGGTAATGTTAAACCCCATCAACCAGCTTAACGGGCAAATTTTACACTCTTGTACTAGTTGGGCAAAATTACTTCAAAATAGCAATGATCGGCGTGGCAGGTTTACCAGTTTGGATGTGACTGAGCTTCATTACACACTCAGGGACGCTTTGTAACAGTGTAAGGTATTTGGCAGACTAAGGCAAAGATGTTCATGATGATGGGCATCGTGTAACGTGCATTTATCCCGGTTAACAAGCAGATTACCTGATGGCTTGATGCTTGAGCTTCTGCTCTATTGAATATAACTATGAATGTAATAGCTATTTGGTAATTTTTGCAAAGACAAACTATAAAATGTCAATGATACATCTCCACTCCAAACCCACAGATTGCTTGAGTAACATTCCTAAAATATCGAATCATATTTTTCTAGTGTGATAGAGAACTCTAGCGAAGTATCGAAGCATCAAGGCTGGTATTAGAGCATTGGTTTTTCAAGTTGTATATATGATGCTAATTTACGTCAAACAACCCTCAACGCAACCTACTATGCAAGAGAAGAACGATGCAGTGATGTCTCCCTGTTCAAAGTATAAATAAAAATATATAAAACTTCCATTTGAGGTGATATAAATGTCTATAAATACAAAGCAGAATATTTTGGCAAGTAGTACATAGTGTAACCTCGAATGTTAAACAAAATCATATATAATGCTTGATGATTTCAGTGCAAATGAACAATTTTCATCCTCTCTTTACTCCCTTTACGTTCCCTAAAACTACATACATTCATTATGCTTATCGCTAATGCATTATTGCTAGTTGCTGGTGGTGCCGCTCAAGTTTATGCAGCAACAAGCACTTTAGCTCCTCAATTCTCCCCTGTCTTTCCTTCAATGCCCAAGGCAACCGGTGTTGTAACTTCTTACAATCCTGGACCTTACGATACTACTACCAAATTATCAACTGCTAGATTGTCTGGTTATCCTGAACCATGGGCTTCACCTCCTACCTCGTCTGCTGAAGTCAAGAAGGTTTACAACATGATTGATTGGTCCAAGGTGCCTAATGGTGTGTATATTTAATGTTTTGATGTGTATATCAGTCAACTTACATGATCAAATTTAGCTCCTGTTAGAAAGCAAGATTCTAATGGTAATTGGGTCAATGACTCTGACGAAAATGACAAATATTGTTGGTGGTCCTCAACGAATTGTGTAAAGCCTGTGGCTTCCTACTTGCCTGAGGATATTTACACTTGTCCCAACAAGTAAGTCTACCAACTGATTCATTCTAGCATTCAACTAATCTAATCAATTCTATAGTGGCGATTGGGGTTTGAACTATGACGATGGTCCATTCAACAGATACGATGATGATGAAGATGAAGCTGCTCTCGAAAATAAGTACGCTGAGCCTGCTCTTTACAACTTTTTGGCCAAAACCAACAACCAAAAGGCCTCACTCTTTTACATTGGTTCCAATGTTGTCAAGTGAGTATATTAAATCGCATGCCCACGTCAATTAAACTAACGTTATTCTTCAAAAAGCTATCCTGCTGCTGCTAAGCGTGGTTTGAACGATGGTCATCATCTCTGTGTCCACACCTGGTCTCATCCTGCCATGACAACTCAGACTAATGCTCAAATTGTTGCCGAGCTTTACTGGACTCTCAAGGCCATCAAAGAGGCAACTGGTGTTACTTCTAGATGCTGGAGACCTCCTCAAGGCGATGTTGACGATCGTGTCCGCGCAATTGCCCATCAAATGGGTTTGAGAACTATACTGTGGGATCACGACACGGTTCGTAAATTTTTCTATAATTTGATCTACTTGTAAACTGACTCTTTTCTTATAGAATGATTGGGACATGCCAGCTCCTGGTGGCGGATCACTCAGCCCTTCCGCAAGTTCAATAATAACATCCGCATGCGAGTTTTTGACTAATATACCTTCTTTTACAGAAAGTCGATGGATATTTTAAAACCTGGTTGAACAATTATAAATCAGGAAAGGACAAGAAGGGCCATATTGTTCTTGAGCACGAACTCAACAGCGCTACTGTCAACATGTCCATGTTCTGGATGCCCAAGCTCCAAGAGACCTTCAATGTCATTCCTGCTCTTGCCTGTAATGGTATCCAAAATCCCTATTGGGAAGAAGGCTGGGTAAGAATCCCCAAAATTGCATTATGATAGTTACTAAGATTCATTGCCGTTCATAGGTTTACCCCACTGCCAATGTTGCTCAACCTACTAACACTGCCACACCTACCGGTACAAAGACTACTGCTACTTCTACAGCTACTACTACACCCGGCACCTGTACCTCAGGTTCCTATGGATTAGGAAAGGGTGACGGATATAATGGCGCATGTTGTCAAGATCAAAGCGACTGCCTGGACGATTGCTTGAGTGGTAAGTGTAATGGCCCTGTCAACACCGAGACCACCAAGACCTCTGCCACTGCTACAGCTACTCCTACATCTGGCACCTGTACCTCAGGTTCCTATGGATTAGGAAAGGGCGACGGATACAATGGCGCATGCTGTCACGATCAAAGCGATTGCCTGGACGATTGCTTGAGTGGTAAGTGTAATGGCCCTGTCAACACCAAGACCACCAAAACCACCAAAACCTCTACCAAAGCCTCTACCAAAACCTCTACCAAAACCTCTTCAAAATCACCCACTGCTTCTGCCAGCTGCACACCCGGTTCAAGAGGCAAGAGAAAGGGAGACGGAAAAACCGGATACTGTTGTTCTTCTAGCGATGATTGCTTAGAGACCTGTCGCTCAGGTACATGCGGTCTTTAGCTTTTATAGCCATGTATGAATAAAAACTCGTAATAAATGAAAGCTGTACTTCTGATACTTCATATAACATTCGTTTGGTACATTACTGGAAACGAGCTGTACCAAGGCCAAGTCAATTAAAGCAATTGATTGCCCTTTTCACACCTCAATCCGCATTTCCTTCTAAAATAGTAAACGGCAGCTTAAAATGACGGTATAGGTTTATTACAACACTTGAGATAGCTATCTTGTATAAATCATTCTATCAAGAAGCGTTAGCCATATAAAAAGATCAGACTTGTTTTAAAAATGAACGTAAGTCATACTGAAATAAATCGAATTCGAACAATACATTAGATTCGCAACAATAGCAGCACGCATGCTACACAAAATGGAAGTAATGCGCCACTGCTAGATGTTGTTCTGTATCAAACAGGACAAGATTATGGCCTACGTAATATGAACTTTTCTTGGTATTTTTTGTAAGTTGTTAATGCTACTGAGCACGGCTCAGTAATGATTCCAATAAAGGCTGCAAATTTTACACGAGAAGTACAAGGACCACAAAATTCTTAGTAATTTATAGTATGCGTGGGAGGTTCACTAGACTGCTTAAAGCTATAGATCTGACTCCTCTACAATGCTCCACATCTACATCGATAGAAATAAATCATATCCTGGCAAACATCTTACTTGTATTACCTCTTGCTATTCAAAAGTCTGCAAATCACAGTAAAATTTGAGCGCACTCAAGCAGTAATTTCTCACGTTATAAGGCAACTTAGACCACCGGAATAGCACCAAACAATCACTCTCGCCTAGCATTTACTTCTTGACGCCTTTGATCAACTTTTTTGGGATCGTCGAAAATCGACTCTAAGCCATGAGGTACCTCTCATGGTTTTTTTTGAAAATCAAACGATCGCGTTTTTTACCTCAAAAATGAAGACTTTCAATAAGGTATATATTATATCAAAATGTTTCTCTCAACTCGCAGCAACACCTGAAATCACTTTTGTACAACCTCGATATGCAAAATTTAGACATTTTGGCCAAATACCTCATTTCACATTTTCTAACTTTACTCAATAAATTCATTCAAAATACATATTACAATGAGTACCATTTGGTGCACCTTGAAAAGTACTCCAAGGATGTATTAGGAAGCATAGGGTGATCATCACACTTTATATAGTCGAATATCACAGAATAGATTAAAGAAGTCGAAATTTGCTCGAAAATTCCCATTTTGAGCGAAAAAAAATGTCCATGATTAAAATATTTTTGGCTGGCAAATGTGCTGCCATGCGTATTGTCAAAACAATCAATGCCTCTAAAGCTAATAAAAAGGGTCTACAGATTGAAAAGTGCTATAACCTTAGTTTGCCTATTTTCTCGAGCTCCTGTCGTATATGTCTATGCTTGACCAATTCAATGGTTGTAAATGGGTTATCCAAATGGAAATCCTGATGCAAACTGCAGAAGGGTCACCTTGTTCACATTGTGAATGATATTACGAATGGTACCCTTAACACGATTAACAAAAAATATCAGGTTTGAAATGCATGGAATCCCTTTCAGAAGCTCACTTTACCAACACCCTACCGCCTGTCATGTACGATCTTGGACCAATATAATTACAAATGCAAAAGCTATTACTCGATTCTCTAACACATCTTGCACACCATCATTCCACCTACAGACTTGCTTTGGCCCCGAAGATCGATAAAATTATATGGTATTTCCATTTACATTGGCCTGTGTAAAGCGCTCCAGTAGTAACAGTAGTACATGAAATTTTTATGTGTAATCCAGAACTGATCACTTGGTCTATGATTATGCATTTCATTTATGCTCAATAACCTGAGCACGACTCTAGCATGCGCTTCATAATTCATATATATATGTATCGACAAAACAAGGTTTGATGGATGTCTAGTATTTACATACAAGCATTGGATATATCTTTCTGTTTATCAAGTCATATATCGCTTGTGTCTGTGTGTGTAAAATTGACTGAACACAAAAAGCAACAAGTTGGTGAATGTAACGCAATCCATCCAAATGATCAAAAAGAATCAAGACCATTGAATTTACCACATGATCCAAGAAAGTTTTTCATCTTTGGACGGGGACGCTGGAATCTCAAGATAATTTCTTATTCAAGCAAAAGGTAATGTTGGACAATGAATGTTGCACGAAACTTTGTTCTAGTGGTTGTGAGAAAGTCAAGAGTAATTTTATTATACTTCAGGTTACTATTGTACATGTCTCTCCAAAGCTGATTAGAGCAGTGTGATTGACATCAAAGTTATACTATGTGCAATATCATGTCCTGTGTGTTTTCTTTGAGTGTGTGTGTGTCAATCATGCTGCAACCACTATAAGCTGACAGAGAATTACATGCAGGTACTTATTTGGAGAAATTATCATTGTTTTACACCCGGAGATCCCCCTGAGAGAAATCGAGATGGAAATGCCGTCGTTTCCCTGAATAAACATGGGCGGCGGAAGAACAAATTCTTATCATCACACCTCGAATCACCATCATTGCGTTAGCTCTCGTAGCTCCTTATTTATAAAGACTAAATGTTGTGGCATTACCAATCAATGACACATCGTTTCTCTGATCTTTTACACAGAATGCTTCTATACAAACTACGGTCTACCTAAAACAATAGCATATAGGTATCTAGACCCTGTTGTGCGTTATTTTTAGGTATGTTGGTTTAGTGGTAGTCTAAATACCGCGCAAATCTAAATATCAAGAATTCCATAGAATTGACTTGTTGCACAATGAGGGCTTCATAGTGCGCGCAAAATACACAAAACCTACTGAGTAAAGATTACATTTCACTACCGTTTTGAGCTTGGCATGAAAATGAAATTCTGTTATTATAATCCAACCCTCGTACAAGAAATCTGTTTATGATAGTGTTGAAGGTATGTATTTCTTCAAAACCCTTATCAATAGAAGCGAGATGTGATACTTTTTTTCGCTTTATTATAGATGAACATGTTTACAAATGTCACTTGATTTACCATTGTTGGGGAAGGAATGAGCTTTTATAGTGGTTCGAAGATTCTTATATAAACTAAATAAATACGAATAAACCTTGTAATGTTCTGAATTAAGGTTTGTTCTTTTTATCTCAATAGGAACGCTGCTATTATCAATCATTGGTTCCAATTAAACATTATCTAACTTTACTACTGCTTGATAAATTGCTGCTCCCAAACCTGATTGCCTGTTTTTTCTAGCATGATCAAAAGAGAATAAAGTTTCATCCAATTAAACTATACCCTAAGGGCTGCTGCCTCCCCCCCCCCCCTTGTAAAGGAAATGATATTGACCAAACAATGGTAAATGAGCACAAATTTCCAAGCTCAACATGTAACATAATGATGTCTGAAAGATTCCCGAAAAAAAATCAAATAGGAGGTATATGATCTACAGAACAAACGCATTGCAAATGCATGCATTGGCGCTCATATCAGTAACAACTGCATCTTGTCAGAGGATGGCATTACTGCCTCTATTTTCACCAGTAATCTTTTTATAGTACGCTATCAAGCATCTCGGACTTGAAGTATATAAAAAGTAAATTTCACTAGCGAAACTTTGCAGTGTTTGATTGGGAAATAACGATCAAAAAGGGGATTATCTGCTCTTTTGTGTTACAAATATTATTATATTGGCTCTTTTTTTTTCAGAGTGAGTGTAAACGGCATTGGAGAACTAGTAAAAAGGTCATGAGAGATTATTGGATTCCACGTTTTTCTCTCATAATTGACTTTAATGTCAATTAAAGCAACGTGGTTAACAAAAAAATTTCACTAGCTTTTGACAGACTCGAGAAATATAAGCTTTCTTCCTCTTTAAGCATGCATTGGACAGGATCAATTACTGCTGAGGGAATTTTTTGATTTCAGGTACCATTGACTGTTTATCAATCGTTTGTGTCTATAGTGTGATGTGAAAAAACAGGGATTGTCTAAAAAGATTTGAACGAAAAAAAAATGGCAGAGCACGAGGTGTACAACCAAAGTGCTGCATGTGCTTCATTTTATACGGGTGTTTCGATTTTAATGCAAACAACTGCTATAGAGGTCTAAAGCAAGGCCAGATTTCAAAGTCAAGTTAGCAAATGTATGTCCCTACATGTATCATCATACCGTAATTACATCTAAAAATTGCTGAAAGACTCGATATATAGATGAAATCAAGTACGACACTGAAAAATAAAGTGGGAGGATCTATTTAAATTGGTCCGTTCTTTTTTATTTTAACTAATCCGTTAGCAGTAGGTTCAATCGGAGAACGAGCACTGACAAATTGGATACAGTAGGACAGACGCTCTCTGATTAGGTGGCACGTTCTAAATTTGTTACATCTATTTGCCATGGCGAGAATGAGAGAAGAGCAAATCAGCTAAGCTTTTAGCTAATAGCAGAATTTAAGGTTTCTCCCTCTAGAATTACACCACCATAAATAAGGATCTCCCTTTTGATTGTCGCACATGTACTGTTTTGTGTTTATATGTGTGTTCCCCAAATCTTTCATCCAATTCCTATATAAACTCCCAATGATTTTTTGTTACAAGCATCGAATCAGTCCTTCTTTCTTTCACTTTCTCCCATTCCAAAAACTTGAAAATTTGATGAAACTTTAGTCAAATTTAATCGACTGATATACACAATAAAAACTGTCTTTAACATTTAATACACTTCTCTAAATCAAAATGACCTCTTACTCCCGAGTTATGCCCAATATCAAACCATATCCTCAGCCTCAGCAGCAGCAGCAGTCAATGCATTACAACCAATACCCTAAACCACAACAAAAGTTCATAAACTTGTCTGTATATCGCCCAGCATATCATAGAATCCCTTCAACACCTGCTATTTCTCCTCGTCATCAGAAAGATGCCGCTTGGGCTGCCATGTCTCCCGAAGTATCTCCAATTATTGTGCCTTCCATGTCACCAGCTACTCTCCAACCTCAATTTTTGAACTTTTATACTGGTGTTTACCATCAGCAACCCGTTGTACATAGAACTGTAAGTAATGTATATGCTTCCTCCTGTTATCTTAAATCTAACCCAACTCCGAATCTCACAGTATCACCCTATACCACATCCTCAACCACAAGTGGCACCCATTGAAATGAATCAGGTACCGCCTATTCATCATACTTTGGAGAACTCAACCATCACCTATGATACTATCCATCACAATCTTCAAAAAGAACTGGTCAAGGACGTCTTTTTCTCTCCTGCTATGAATACCGATGCCGATGTGAGAGAAATGTCTCCATTCGGTTCCTTCTCCTCTTCTCTGTCTGCTTCTTCCGGTGATAATGACTCCGTTTCTTCTGTTACCACTCCACCTTTCTCTCCTTATGAACAATCTCCAAGCGAGTTTCTCTTGGAACAGCAACAGCAACATGATGCTCTGTTTGATTTTGGCCTTGACCTTGCTACTACATGTGCTACGTCAAATCAAACTACTACAAGCTCCTATCAGGAAATCAAGATGGCCGCCGCTGGCAAACCTTTCCTATCTCTATCTGCTTTTGGTCACAACTTCAGCAGCAACAACCAAGATTTACCTACTCCTCCTGCCACTAGCGCAAATGAAACTGATTACAACTTTCAACAACAAAAGAACAAGCGTCGTTGTTCGGATTCAGAGTTGGAAGAGCGTAAAAAGAAGAAGCAGCGCCAAAACTTGTTGGGCCAAATGACATCAACTCCTCCTGGGTCACCTTGTAATGAAAAGATTATAAAGGACGAAACTTTATTTGAGGAAGAGTAAGTGGCAGATACTGTTGGATTATTTTGAGCATGAATTTAATTTTTTCCCTCATAGTGCATCTGTGGAATACAGCCGATTTGACGGCAATGTCAATTCTACTTCAACTGCCGAGACGGATTTTCAACCATTTCCTGATTTTAACGACGACAACGACGACTTGTCAGTTATCTCATGGGAAGAGGAGCAGGAGTTGATCAGAGAAATCCAAGTTATGCCTGAAATCAAAAGCGTAACAAAGCCAACTACTGCTAAAAAGACCAAAAAATCAGCCAACAAAAAAGCATCAAAATCATCCAAGCCAACAGCTGAAGATATTCTTTCCGTCAATGGCAGCTTTCTACCTGCAGTTCCCCCTCGCTCAACAGCTCATCCTACTATTTATCAAAAGCTGACCAAGGCAAATATTGATTGGTGTCGTTATTGCGGTACAACTGAAGGTGTGAATTGGCGTCCTGGACCCTGGGGTAAACGTACGCTTTGCAATAAGCATGGATGTGATTACAAAGGCTACGGTTTTGCCTGCAAGCTTCCTCGTCTTGATCTGACAGCTTTCGCCAATGAATCTATTGATGAAAGAGATAGACCTATTCTTCAAGACTACTGTTCTACCTGTCAACGTAAGGACTCTTGGAAGGGTAATGTGCTTGTTCGTTGCGAGGGCTGTCCTAAAGCATTCCACCAAAATTGCTGTGTAAATAACATACTCGATGACACATTTGTTGACTCCAACGAAGCTTATTTCTGTGACAATTCTTGCTATGAGAATGCCAGTCGTAAAAAGATTGTCGTAGAGCTACCTCGTAAGCGTCTCCCCCTGATGTCTTGCCCCAAAGGCTCTTTATCCTCTGCAAGTTCCATCTCATCTGAATCTTCTGGTAGAAAATCTTCCTCCAAATAAGTCTATTTCTCCACCTCTTATGTATATATACCTCCCACATTGCTTCTTTATGTCCCTCATTATTTCAATTACTATGCCATTTCGCACAAAACTCATACCAATTTCAAAAAAATCCATGTAGATTTATAATATAGCTTCGCATTTAATAAAATTCCAAACTTTTAGCACAATATCAAAGTTCCCTGATCTCTTGATTCTAAAATAAGCAGTGTTGGTGTGATCTGGACAGTAAATGGAGTTTTAACGACATCTCCCATCGTCTCTTCGTTGTAACTCAAAAGGTTTATAGTGGTATCAGAGGAAAATTTAGGAACTTGATTTTTTTATACTGTATTCATGTGAAAAATATATTTCATTGCAGAAATGCACACTCATGTTCGCACTCACACGCTACCAAGTGAAAGAGAATGGTGTATCAAATATACAGAAATAAGGTTTTAACTGTACAACAATGTTAAGCCTGCTGTGAGAATTCTTGGACCTGGTTGTTATGTAATTGGCACCACTGTGATCATAAAGTGCCTCGCCTGTTTAGTATGTATCTGTGAACATTTTTAAAGAAATGATAGGCTATCAAATGGAATTAATATCTGCGCGGATCTGATCTTTTTTTTTATATATATATATATATATATATATATATATATATATATAGCTTATTTGCAATATGATGGCTGGGCAGTTGTAAGATGAAAAGGCATGCACGTGGGCCACGTTCAATTTGGATTTTTATGATATGAAGCATAAATACAAATAGAAAAGATCACCAAAAAAAAACATATGGCACTAACAATTTAGCTTTATTGCGTGATAAATATACCTGCTCTTTAACCTCTGTATTTTCACACTACTCCGCCTGTCATGAACTGCGATGCCGGATGCTGTCATTCCATTCATTTGAATTTTAAATTATTTACGTGAATGCCTGAGTACCACTTCGATAAAAATCGAATTGTCCTCTTTATTATATACATCATGTACCAAAAAGGAATAGTTCATTGTTACTAGGTATTAACATTTTCCCAATTCTAATGATGTTGCTATTGATTTCGGGCATCTTAGTGGATGCAAGCGCATTGAAATTAATTGATGTATCTTTTAGTTGCAATAAAAATTTCTTGTGTAATATAGACATATAAAACACTATCATCTCGTTATCTTAAAACGTTCCATAAAATACATTTGACGGCTCTTTGATAAATGTAAATTTTGTCTTGATCTGGAAGCGCTAAAAGCCCTTTCATGATCACATTGGAGAATATCCTTCTGACAGATACCAAAATTTCACTATTCATCGCGTGGGAAGTCTTTTTAAGCGGCCTGAAACTGCGGATCTGACTCTTATACAATATTCCACATCTACATCGATAGAAATAAATCATATACGAGCATATAGCATACTTGCATTGTCTCTTACTGCTCAAAAAGCTACAAAATGCAGCGAAATTTGAGTGCATTTGAGCCGCGTTTTCTCGCGTTAAAAGCTGTTTTAGACCACCGGAATAGCACCAAACAATCACTATCGCCTAGCATTTACTTCTTGACGCCTTTGATCAACTTTTTTGGGATCGTCGAAAATCGACTCTAAACCATGAGGTACCTCTCATGGTTTTTTTTTTTGAAAATCAAACGATCGCGTTTTTTACCTCAAAAATGAAGACTTTCAATAAGGTATATATTATATCAAAATGTTTCTCTCAACTCGCAGCAACACCTGAAATCACTTTTGTACAACCTCGATATGCAAAATTTAGACATTTTGGCCAAATACCTCATTTCACATTTTCTAACTTTACTCAACAAATTCATTCAAAATACATATTACGATGAGTACCATTTGGTGCACCTTGTAAAGTACTCCAAGGATGTATTAGGAAGCATAGGGTGATCATCACACTTTATATAGTCGAATATCACAGAATAGATTAAAGAAGTCGAAAAAAGGCAATATCTGTCCAATCTTGAACAGAAAAGACAAGCTGAGTTTGAAATAATTTGGCTGGCCAAAATGCTTATTTCTTGAATACAATAGATGTCGTGATACTATCATGAAGGGAATTACGAATTGGAAGATTATACAGCTTAGTTTGCTTATTTTTTTTGTTATTTCTGTTGTAAATTTCTGTATTTGATATATTTAGGCGTTCCAAAATGTTTATTTAAATCCAAATCCTAATACGAAATGCTACATTGTGGTTCAGAGTTTTTCAAAACCATACACATCAACAGTCTGATCAGGAGATAGAGTCAAGTTTGTTTTAAGCTTAAAAAATGTCAGATAAATAGCTTGATTTAGATCGTTTATAAGTTGTATTACTATCTGTGGGATCGAACCCATCTTCCTCTGTATGATTAACGGGAGTTCATCTGTTGCCATTTTGACCTTGAGCTATTGGCGAACATCTCCTCAATTGTAAAGCTAATTGATATATAATGCATTAAATACGCTATTATGCCTGATTGGGATGCTCTACGGACTGTATGAATGGCTAAACTCCATCTATAGCATTGTTGACATGGCCTTCCAACCCTGAGTATCCGTTTTTGTCTGTGAATGCAGGTTTTTTTTCTCGGGTGCCATAATGCTGGTCGATTTTAGCTAGAGGGCTGTACAAAAGCAAATGCTAGCAATAGAGCTGTTCAATATGAATCATCGCAGCCGTGCCTTAGACACACTAAATGCCATGTTGAAGGTGCATCACTTGGGATACAGTACTGTATAGTCACATACTTCATCAAGTGAATTGAGAGCCAATAATAAGCTGCAAACGAAATTGAAAGGTTCAATTCATCTCAATGTGAGTGTTTAAATTAGTCTATTACAGCAGTTCTTCTCTTCCTTTTTCATACAACAAGCATCTCAAAGCAACAAAATGAAGAGACCCGTTTCGCTTCTTTTTGCATTCTTACAACTTGCGTTTATTGGCTTTACATTAGCACAAGCAGACCCCAAGAAAGACAAGCTTATATCACTTTCAGAAGACAACAATGGTGTCATTAACTTGAATTCCAACAGTTATGATCGTTTTACAGAGGGAAAACGAGACTATGGCATGGTCGTATTGTTGACAGCATTGGATGATCAGTTCAACTGTGTTCCCTGTCGGTAAGAGGAGGATAGACTCTGCTGGACATGTATACATGTAGACTAATTGGCGACGCGTCCATTATAGTGAATTTGACCCCGAGTATTCTTTAGTTGCAAAGAGCTTTCAAAAAAATAAAAAGAGCAAGGATCTCTTTTTTGGACATTTGGATTTCAAAGACGGACAAGCTGTTTATCAAAGAGTAATGCGAATAATCCCAAACATTGAAGACAATCCCACTCATTTTCAATGGACTCCTAGCTCAAGCTCATGTCAGCACCTAATGTATTCTATTTCCCTCCTCAAAAGGCTGGTGAACGTAAAGATTTCGTCAAATACGATTTAGCCAGAAGGTATAGAATTTGATCTGGATTTTATGCAAGATACCGTGGATTGACAGTTTTTGCATTAGTGGATTTTCCGCAGAAAGCTTCGCAGAATTTTTGAGCAGAGAAAGTGGTCATAAGGTTATCGTTGCTCGCCCTGTAAACTACTTTAAGCTTGGTGCCAAACTGTTCCTGGTTGTTGGTGCCGCTGCTATCCTCAAACTATTGTATCGCCATCTCGGTTTCGTGTTCTATCACAAGAACACTTGGGCTGTTATTTCCATTTTGTTCATCTTGACTTTCACCTCAGGCTACATGTGGAACCGTATCCGCACTCCTCCATTTGTTATGCCAGGCAAAAATGGTGATATCAACTATATTGCTTCTGGGTAAGTATTTACAGGGCATTTGTAACGTGCAATGTAGCTAATCTCTGTGATAGATTTTCATCGCAACTTGGCGTCGAACCTCAAATTGTGGCTAGTATCTGTAAGTCGATTTACAAACATATCTTATTCAGTTCTTTATTAATCAACTAATATTTGTCAACTTAGATGGCCTTCTTGCTTTCTCACTAGTTGCTTTGATTAAATCAGTACCTCAATTTGACGATCAAACTCGTCAACGTTTCGGTGTCTATATTTGGATGGGTTGCATTATCTTTATCTTCAGTGCATTACTAGCACTTTTCAAGATCAAGAATGGTGGATATCCTTTCAAGCTTCTCATTTAAGCCAAATCTCCCAAGTGTACTTTATATGTTTGGAAATAAATTACAATTTTTTATTCTGATCAATGTTTGCTTCTATGAGAAAATGGTATTTAAACAATATAGTACAACTCTTATTTCTTGGCTTCTTCCTCCCTCTTCTCATCCGAGTCTTCTCCAGACTCCTCCTCCAGATCACTGTCTTCAAAATCAAAATCGCTGTCTTCGTTCTTGCCAACAATACCAGATACATCATCACCTCTCTCTAGTTTACGCATGTAGCTTCTTCTTTGGCGAAGAGTCATTCTACTCAACATACGCTCCATCTCTTGACCTTCTCTCATCTCATCGGCATTTGTTTTGATCTCATCCTTGCTACAAAAAATCATGCAGATCAGTACAAGCTCCTCCCATGATTCACTCATTAATTGCACTTACGATACCAAGATTTCCTTGGATTCTAAACATTTGGCACAAACCCCTTTAGAGCGTGCGCAATTATCACAAAGAACATGATATGCCTCTTTGATGGCCTTTTCTTGACAACAGGTACTATATATTTGTGATGAATAGGCATGATATGGTATTATTAGCTGCGATTGCATCATTACCATCTCTTGACAGTGGTTAAAGGCTTATATTTCTTGTATTTCTTACGCCACAAGATGACATCTGTACAGCGCTGGCAGAGACCGTATACAGGTAAAGCTGCAATTTCTCGGGACTTCTTAGAGTTCTTGTTGGCCTTCCAGCTCGTTGTATTTTGATGAGCTTGTCCTTTCTTGGCGTTGTTACCTTTACGGTTTGAGCCTTTGTTTTCGTATGTAGACATGCCAAAAAAAGAGTTTGTCAAAAAGCACCACAAGATCATAAGAGAAAAAAGTTTATTCATGTCTTTTTATGTAACAGTCCTATTAGATGATTACAAGTCACCGTATACTTCATTGTTTCTCATCAGCGAGAATGATCTCTTGCTCCAAATTAGAAAAGATGTCAATGCCAGCTTCCAGAGAATCAATCAAGATATTTAGACGAGGTCCATTGAAGTTAGGTTCCTGCAAGAGCTGTTAGTATCGCAAAAGCGTCAAATCAATCAATTAATCCAACCTGTCTGATTTGATCCAAATCAGTACCAAATGCTTGAGTAACTTTGGTCATGTAAAGATCTCTAAATTTCTTGGTTGTACTCTGCTGTTCGTTGAACACTGGTGCATCCTCTTCTTTGTCATCCTCAGCTAATTCTTCTTTATCTCGATGCTCTTTATCCTCATCATCGTCAGAAATTTGTTCTGCATCTTCAAGTTCCTCATCTTCATTTTCATCCTCCTTGTCAACATCCTCTTCAGATTCACTATCCCCATTCAAATTATTTACAATATCCTCTACTTCATTAGGATCCATTTCTTCGTCAAGATTATCGAACAGTCCTTCCTCCTGCTTCTTTTCCACCTATTCAGAACGTTACTCAGCATACTGCGTCAAAATTGGTGTTTAACTATATTTACATGATTTTCGACGGGCTGTGTCTTCAATGCCTTTGCAGGCTTAGTCTGTAATTTCGAATTGGCACTTCTCTTTCTGTTACTGGCTGATTTTGTTTGCGCCATCGTTTATGCTTCTGTATTTATGGAGGTATAATAGTAGAGAGGGTTTAGAGTAAAAATATTCTCTGCTTTGGGCTAATGAGTGACTAGTTTGCTGAATTAAATGTGGCGGTCTTTACGACAAATTAGGATTGAGTTTGCTCAAGCAGATCGTATAAGGACGGAGATGCCCTGCCTTGTTGATGCTTTATATACGACTCTGGAAAATAGGTTGCAACGTAGCTTAGTTACATAAAACTCTAAACAAAAGGTGAATTAAGAGCATTTCAAAAATGGCCAATGAATAAATAGTACTATTTACAATATTTGATTTGACGAACATACTCATAATCTCCCAAAGACACCCTCAACAGAAAAATTGAAGTCAAGCCGGCTGAAAAGTACTTTTGTACAATCACACATTTGGCAACAATGATTCAAATATCAAATAGCTGACCTGACGGAGATACAATTAGTTTGACAGCTGCCTAAAATAGAAATGGTTCCTGAATTTGATTATAACTCCGTTAATACTGGCTATCTCTGTACCTTAGATTCTGTCAGAGGATTATTCAAAAAGGACATTGATAATAACAAGTGCCGTCTAGTATATCAATTAATACTTTGGCCAAATATCAGATACAGTATTATAAATGCTGTCATTATGTCCTAGCAAACTCGAATAATTTGCAGATGCTCGATTTTTGTTTGCGTCCAGATGTATCGGGATCCTCACACATGTAACCGCGACAAGAAACGCTTGGCAAATTTCTAGCCGACCCATCTCTTAGACCCGCATCCTATACGCTAAAAACTTGAAATGTATATATAATATAGATGCCCAGCTCCTAATTTTCTCGACTTGATATTTGATGATTGAGGACAACTTTTGCCCATGAAAGAGAGGCTCCAAGCAGAGTTTTCGAAATTGTACACTCTGCTATAGTGAAAATTTCGGACGCTAAGCCGAAATCACCACACAACAATCTCATATAGTTTCGACAAGCGGTTTGGGAACCATTCGACATTGATCTAATGAGCAGTGCTGAAGTTCCCATTGGCTAATGAACAAAGGATTACGATCAACGTCCTCCATAGATGTACGACAAACATACTATGACGTTATGAACCGGTTTTTGGGTCGTGAAGTCTGAATAGAACAAATTAATATGAGTTTATTCATGAAATAAAAAAGGCGTGTTATTGTTACATTTCGCGGTAGAGATTACACAAAAGAGAGTAAAAGTTATACAAAATAAAGCAAAGAGGGAGAAAAGAGCATATACATATATAATATAAGGGGGGGGGGAATCAAGTGCAATGTAAATCTATTAAATTACGGCAGGTAAAGGTTAAGGAGGAAGGTGGTGACCAGGTTCCCAAAACACAGTGATTTCGCCATCCCCTACTGTAGAGGAGGAATTGGAACTCTGTATTGATACTTGACTTGGATTATGAAGTAAGATAGGTGGAGGGGGGGCTGGTGGACAAAAGTAGACATCAATTCGATCGCTTTGAGCATCATTGTCTTCATCAGTGGGAGTAGATGGATCATGTAAAGACACTTGAAAAGGCGGTTGTTGCTGTTGATCAATGACAGTACGAATAGATCGTTTCCGAGTGATGCCACCTTCTTTGCTTGTTATAGTATTGATACGCACCATCGTGGGCTTAGCACAAACGACTTTGACATCTTCTGAGGTGACACTACCAACACGGGTTATCGAACTCGAATGAGAAGCTGTCGAATTATTCTTTTTTACTGAAACAGCCCTCCTTATTTTTACTGTTTCGTTTTCATCGCCACTGTTGCTGTACTTATCGTCATCACCGTCATCATTAGCGGCGCTTTGTGTATTATAAAATCGATTTGTTGCGGGTATAGGGCGATTGTCATACTTGGTGACCTTGACAGATGAGGCTCGACTCAAGAAATCACCATTGTCTGCGATTATCGTTGGTTGAATATTAAGGGATCGTCGAATTAGCGTGGTACTGGACGGACTAGACGGATCGGGTGTGTCAAGATGCGGGATTTGGAGGGACTGAGCACCTATGATAAAAGGTGATTGGGGATGATCGTAATTGACAGAGTCTATAACCTAGATTTGTGTGAATGTTTTCAGTTAGACAGTTAGTAAATGTAAACAAAATCACCAGCTCCTGATTCTTGTTATTGAATCCAAGAAAGGAAACTTTAGGAGCCTCCTTAAAGAAGATTGTGTTCCATACCTGTTGATGCCAATGATTTGAAATGGGGGTGGCGGATGACGATGAATTGGAGGAATATTCAGAGATGGGTGGTAGTAGAATGGATGCGCTTTGTAATGCTGATGGAGGGGGAGGTAGTACGCTGTTGATATCAGATATGATGATGGGTGGATGTGGTGGTATATAGGCTTTTTTCTCGTCCTGCTGTTGTTGTAATAATATTTTCTGTAGCTTCCGTCGTCTATAAAATACAAATCCTGCTACGGTAACTGCAATCAGAGCAAGCACCACGAGACCAGTTGTTAGGCCAGCTATTAACGCGGTTTGCTGATGATCGTTATTAGCATTAGAACTTGCTTCGAAATCAGTTGCTGTAACTTGCAATTGATTGCCGTCTATACAGTAAGTTGGTGGACAGGTTCCACATTCAGTTACAATCTTGTATATGCATATCTGATCCGCATTGCATGCTGGCGTGCACTCTCTTTTACAGGTTCGTGGTGGGTTGCAAGAGTGCGAATTTGCAATTTGCTGAGTCAAACTGAAGTTTCGAGCGATGAGTTTGTTGGTTCCTACTATCAAATGTCAATTTTGTGATTTTGCTTTGTGTCATTTCGCATTAAATCACATACCTTTTATTCGCTTGTGGTTTCTATGCATTCTATTGCTATACACATGTAGAGAATACAAAGGGGAGTTGAATCGAGCCAAGCAAAATGAGAAAGAGAGAGAAGAAAGCGGAAAAGAAGGGAGTTGCAAAGTTCGCTTAATGTGTAGAATGTGGTTGAATGCGTGTACTGTGCGTTAAACTAGGTCACAGCCCTTTCAAAAAGATGGGTCCCCTTCTCAGTTACACAGCCATGCTTATGCCACACCTATTGTAGAATCACGATACCTCGCAAGGCTCTATCTACATCCTACCAGCACTTACCTAATGTGCTGTCAATTTGCCTCAGTGTTCGAGATTTGAGGCAGGATAGGTTGGAACTTCTCAGTCAAGTGATATGGGTAACTTCCAATGTTGGCATTGCACTAATAGATTTGCAATAGAAAATAATGCTGATATAACTGCTACAATCGCATGCTCTTGCCTTGTGAAAAAGTATGGGATTAAGCCGTCAGAAAGAGTGGTTTTGACTACAGGTTTGTAGTGAACAGTCTGCATTTATTTATCAAATGGGTACAAGAAGATGTTGTGTCAACTTGGTTCTTGATACAATGGCGCCAAAAGATCGCAATGAGTATCAGCCTCATACTCGAGCAACTTCACAGCACAATAGCAAGTTGCGCATGCATATTCGCCTTCAAACGTACATTTGCTTCACATAAAAGACTAGAAACAGAAACCCACACGACCTAAGGTCATTGAGGAATCTAGATCCCTCGCACAAAAAAAAAAAAAAAAAAAAAAAAAAAAACTTGAAACGCTTAGTAAAACACCTTATCTGACCCGGGGTAGATGCTGATGAGGAGTGGGCTTTTTATTTGCAACAAAATTTTGGGCCGTCTTTAGTATTCCTGGCATATTAACGCTTTTAGTAGGCACAATAAACTGTATTCTTTCTTGATGTATGTATAATGCAAAGATGCACTTGCAATCATCTAAAATGCGCATGTATTCTTAATAATTTGCATCCACATTTCTGACAGGTCTGATAAAGAAAGCAAATCCCTTGCTGCAGAGGCTCAGAAATCCATCCAAACGCTAGAGAATCTATTAGACGATAATGGGAAACTAAGGGAGCTGCTATCAGAAGAACCTAATTTATTTAAATTCTCTGAAAAAGCAAAGATACAGACTTACTTATCTGCCAAACCGTAGGTGCTAATGTATTTTCAAGGGTAACGTCTAATAATAAGCACCGCTAAAATTGCATTCATCTATTCAAGGAAGCCTCAAAAAGATGCAGTAAGCAAATATAGCACTTCATAAGCATGAACACTGTAAGATTCATGTAGCAAAATTTTGATCAGCACAGCAAGCGTGGACGCAATCCAAATGATTGTACAGGTCTTTCAACATCCACATGATCGTCATTCAATATTTTGATGGATAATACCCCATCTTTGTCAATAAATACAAAGGGCTTTAACACACAATAGTGATACTTGCCATTTCAGAGGTTTTTCAGAGCAAACCTTCATATATTTAACCGTTTTTGAAACCTGCTTGTACAACAAATGGACTCCTTCCATTTTAGATTTCCTCACGAGGGTAAGAGCCATTGCTCATGATTGGATAGCGGTCTTTCTACCTCGTAGATGATAGGTCATTATTACGAGCCCAAAGCAAAAAAAAAAAAACAGTATAAATGGTGCCTATTTAAATGTCTATTTATCACTTTCTCTTTTGTTTCGTTATCATCATCATTTTATTTGCCTTTCATGGACAAATAAACTATAAAAATCAATAATTGCAACATGAAGTTTGGAAAGCAGATGGAGACAGCAGCTTTTGATCTCCCAGAAAACTGGAGACCACATCTTATTCATTACAAGACATTGAAGAAGTCTATCAGATTAGTAGTGGACGAACTCGAATCAAGAGGTTTGTCCACAGAATGGCTGAATACTTTGGATACGGATGAAGCAATGCGTCTAGACTATGTATTCGATGGTAACTGAAGTATTTGGAGTTCTGTAACATCCCTTAGTTAAACATTGTTTGATTTATAGGTGATGTCAAAGATCCTCACCCATGTATCAAGATTACCATTGATGATCCCACTTCCATCGCAGCTGTGGAAGAGCCTGCTTTGCTAAAACTGATACCCGTTACTGAACAGCTCAATACTGAGCCGTTGTCCATCAAGATTGAACTTGTCCGTGATTCTGAGTTCTTTCACTTACTCTTACATGAGCTTTCGCATGCCGCTGCGCTCCATGACAAGGAAAAGAGCAGATTCCTGGGCGATGTAGATGCACTGGAGAGCCAATTGACTGTCGCTGTAATGTGTACTAGCTATGTTTGCCGAAATCATGCGATATTAACACCTTTGATTTGCAGGCATCTCCTCAAAAGAAAGATTTGTACGCTTGGAGAGAGATTTTCAATCTATATGTAGAGGCTCAGATCTTCAGAAATGAAACCGAAGGTCAATACTCTCCTCAATCTTACGAGAGAAGCCAAGAAAAACTCGAATGGTTTACAAAGGAATTGGCCAGGATGAACTTGGTATTGTTTAGCATGCGTATGAGATGCCTACATATTAATTGATCTGTATAGACAAAGAAGCTGTCATCAAGACCTTCCAAAAAGGCATTGACTCAATTCCTAGCTATCAATGCTCAGCTCGTCCATTTCAAGCACTTTCAATCGTTGAATCAAACTGCTATGATCAAAATTCTAAAGAAGCATGACAAGCGTAGTGGTTTAAGGCATGATCAGAGCACCAGATCAATCAATTATTTCTAAACTAACATTGCTAATTATTTCAGTGCGACCTCAGAATTTCCGTCATTTGCGAAAAACAACGCTATCTTTGTCGAAGGGATCTTGATGTCTCTGTTCAATGCCATCCAGACCAAACTGATTACCATTGTACCACAACCTGATGATTACGACTGTCCTGTGTGTTTCTGTAAGTTTGCCCACATTGCATAGTTTTGGTTTGATAGCCAACAGATTTGACTAGCCATCGCTTGGAGGCCAATCCGCCTGGAATGCGGGCACGTCTTTTGTGTCAGATGTCTGATCAAGGCTCATCGGAAACGCATGTACAACTGCCCTATTTGCCGACAAGAGCACGCAGTGGGCAATGCGGATGCCAACAATTTGGACCAAACGCTTCAAAACTTCATGATGCTGTACTTTCCCAAAGAAATCAAAGAAAAGCGCAAAGAGAATGAGCGAGAACAAGCAACCATCAACAAGCAACAGTGTGTCAGGCATACTCTGCCTCCTCGCAGATTGGCACATAGCACATTTACAACTATTCGAAGCAGCCCCTCTTCGCTACCCCGCAATTCCAACTGTAACATTATGTAAAAACAAAAAGCAGACAATCTCATCGTACCAATGCCAAACGTAATAGTATTGTAAATATACCTTGGCCCAATATCGTTATCATGTAGCTCTTGAATTTGAATAAATTGTAAGATCTTGAATCAAAATTGCTGCATGTCATTTCAGCTATGTTTTTTTTTGTGCTCGTACGAGGAGGCTACAATGGGATAGCATTTACTCAAATGTAGAGACATTCAGGTACTACCAAAAGGACACTGGACAAAAAGTGCCAATGCAGCTCCTTTCTCACACTGCCGCCCGATCAGCACTGCTCATGCGCTATAAATAAACGTACCCAATCCTGCTAAACGAATGGCCTCATTGACGAGCTTCAATTGCCTCACTAGCAGCATAATGCGCCATTTGAAGTTCTCTCAATAAAGAGGAATCCTATCCATAAGCCACTTGATGGACCGGATTACTTTGCTCGGAGTATGAGATTCTCAACAAGACAAAAGTGAAATCAGAATGCAGAAGCATCAAGTTCCTTCTCTAAATACACCATGGGTAAATTGACATGATAACCATCCATCAAAGCATCCATCCATGAAAGACTAATATCAATCCATCTGCAAACAGGTATCAGTCGTGATTCTCGTCATAAGCGTAGCGCTACCGGTGCTAGACGTGATCAATACAGAAAGAAGAGAAAGTAAGATTTTTTTTTTTCAAGCCTTGCAGCCATCTACAACCCAATGTGCCATATTAAAACGACATTCTCTATCTTTTAGGTTCGAGTTAGGTCGTCAATCCGCCAACACCAAGTTGGGTGGTAAGCGTATTCATCTTGTCCGTGTCCGTGGTGGTAACTTCAAGCGTCGTGCTCTTCGTCTTGAATCTGGTAACTTCTCTTGGGGTTCCGAAGGTATCTCTCGCAAGACTCGTGCCTTGACCGTTGTCTACAACGCCTCCAACAACGAGTTGGTCCGTACTAACACTCTCGTCAAGGGTGCCGTCATCCAAATTGATGCCACTCCTTTCCGTCAATGGTACGAATCTCACTATGCTATCACTCTCGGTAAGAAGTCTGCTGATGCTGCTGTAAGTACATGATTTTATGAGAGATTTTGAGTGGAATGAGTATATTAAACGCTCACATGCAGGAGTCTACCGCTGAGAAGAAGTCCAAGAGCGTTGAGAAGAAGATTGCTGCTCGTGCTGCCACTGCTGCCATCGATCCTCTTTTGAACGATCAATTCAATGCCGGTCGTCTTTACGCTGTCATTGCTTCTCGTCCCGGTCAATCCGGTCGTTGTGATGGTTACATTCTTGAGGGTAAGGAACTCGAGTTCTACCTCCGTAAGATCAAGGTAAGATTTTGACAGATTTCAAGTGCATTGCGAGCGGGTTACCGACTAATACTCTATATTTTTTTTTTGCAAATCAAATAGTCCAAGAAGCATTAAGTTTCTTATTTTACATTTATAAAAATAAAAAGCTTTATATTCACTGTGGTTTTTTATAATAAAAATTCCCAAGGTTTAAACTATTTATGAATCAAGTGCTGCAACATTTTAGCATATCACTATGGGATTTTGACATATTCATGCTAAATTTAAACGTTCAATTTGTGACGAAATGCATGGCCATTGTGTCGACCTTATTTCGCTCAAGATCAAGACATTTCATACGAAAAAATTTTGCCGCAAATGTATATTACATATGCTAAATGAAGAAGCTGGTTGCTACAAAAGCAGTTGACATCTCCCGGACCGAACTGCATGGCAGATTCAGTGTGTCAAATAGACTGTAGCTGGGAAAAAAAGGGCCGGCCAACCAAATTTATCATCAAGTGAATAGCTATAGGCGTTGATTCTCCCTCTTTTAGCTTCGATATAGTCCCAACAATGGTATGGTGAACATCAATAACATGTAGATGGATCTAGCATGCTTGAAGAATGTATGGGGATGCGCTGTACGATAGATGGATGGATTGATGGCATTGTGGATCACGATGGCCATGTGTTTTTATGTTTGACAGCCAAAATCACTATTTGGATGACATGAGGATAAGAATGGATTGCATCGAGTTGATACTCTTCAACACGCTACGCAGCACGCCTATAAATAATATACACCGTAACTCCCATACATTCTAATGGCATTGAATCTAGATCTGAGGGAGGGGAAGGGGGGATATGGCATGGCAATTGGCATGAATGCTAAACAAAACCATCACTTCACATAGAGCGCCGAAGAACAGAAGGTTACCAAGAACCCCATGCGCAACCTCCAAATTGAGAAGTTGGTTCTCAACATTTGTGTTGGTGAATCCGGTGATAGACTTACTCGTGCTGCCAAGGTTCTCGAACAATTGACTGGTCAAACTCCCGTCTACTCCAAGGCTCGCTACACTGTCCGTACTTTCTCTATCCGTCGTAACGAAAAGATTTCCGTTCATGTCACTGTCCGTGGTCCCAAGGCTGAGGAGATCCTCGAACGTGGTTTGAAGGTCAAGGAATACGAGCTCAAGGCCCGTAACTTTTCTCAAACCGGTAACTTTGGTTTCGGTATTGACGAACATATTGATTTGGGTATCAAGTATGATCCTTCCATTGGTATCTATGGTATGGACTACTACATTGTCATGGGCCGTCCCGGTAACCGTGTCTCTCGCAGAAAGCACTGTAAGGCCAAGGTCGGTGTCAAGCACCAAATCAAGAAGGAAGAAGCTATGGAATGGTTCAAGCAACGTTTCGATGGTGTCATCTCTTATAAGGCTTAAATATTTTCCCCCCTTTTTTTTATATAATAAAAAACAATCCAGAGATCTATTATATTTATTTGTGTTGATGTATTGTGCATTTTGTGTATGAGATGGAATGAATAGTTGGAGGGATGGATATGTGTAAATGTGTGTGTGTGTGTGTGTGTGTGTGTGTGTGCGTGTGTGTGCGTTGTGCCTGGATGTGTTATTACTCTAAGGGTGCTTTGGCAGTTTGCCATGGTGTTCGATCCATTGGACAATTCTCTCCTCTTGTTGAACTTTGGAACCAAGTCAGTATACAGTGTAGATGGAAAACATGGCTACATTCTCCCCAAATGAGTGGACAATCATCACCAGGTCTTTTACAGTTAGGACAACAGCCATCATACGCAGAATGACATATGCCGCATACATCATCTCCTTCTTTCACGTCCCAGGTCCATTCTGCAACCATCGTACAGGATTCGACTTTGATTTTCATTCTGACAAAATAGCGTAATTCGTGTACAAAGAGAAAGGCTATCTCATCGTCAACACACCTGTTTATTTAATAGATTTAATGGTCACATTCAGCATTGCAATAGATTGCTTTGAGCAGCTTTTGATCTATCCAGAGCAGCAATCTAATGAACTATACGTCTGTATTCACAATGAGGTGACATGCAGGGAGTTCAATCACCCATAGTCTCGCAAAGACTGATCGATGTAGCAATGTAGCTTGTGCGTAAGTGTCAAAAGGTTGTATGCAGTGGCAGCGTGCTGCAATGTGTATTTATTCATTTGATTACACAGAACAGAAGGCTTAATCATTGAGTTATTCACTAGAGATTTAGAGTATAGTTAAGAGATTGGAGTTGTTTCTCTTGCCGATCTAATGCTATTCTCTTCAGATGATACGGGGGACGTTTGTCGTGTGAAAGTGTCCGGCAATGAGGATGTATCAATGGTATCATTCAAGGATGAGGAAACAGGAGATGTTTGTCTTGGAAAGTCATCATCGTTGGTATTGGGTTGTTGGACGGCAACTGCCTCAGTGACAGGCATAGCAGTAGGCTCAATAGGCTCTACTACAGACATTGTAGCTGTAGGAGGACTATCAGCTGCTGTGAAAGCGTCATATTGTTTGCTGAACCATTCCTTAATACCGGCCAAAGAATCGTGCTGCTCAGAGATGGTGCCATTCACAGCTGCCTCAAAAGCTACAGTGTTGTTCAAGATCCTACCAGTAAAATCCTTCTGAACAGCAGTAAGGTCAGTTGCATTACCAAACAGGACTTCAGCATTGATGCTACTTCCATTTACATTAGTGAGATTGAGGCGAGGCAAAGAGCTATCCCAGTAAACATCTTCTTGGACCAAACTAACGAGTGCATCTATGCGCCTGCCAATGACCTCAGGATTGGTGAGGTTTTGAATGATTTGACTAAGAATGTCCTTGAAATCCTGTGCAAAATCAGGTACTTGCAAAAATCCATCCAACAGAGGTCGATTTTGGCTATTGAAACCAGGATATGTGCTGACATTTCCACTCCACAAGTCTGACACGTTGAAAGCAGCTGTGTTGCCCATGGTATTTTCCATAGTAGAAGGAATAAAAGTAACATGGGATCCGTTGGGGTTATTGTAGAGAAAGTAGTTTCTTGCTGCTGTAATGTAGCCATTCGTATTACCGAGTAAAACTTCTAATGCAGCACTGTATAGATGAAAAACAATAGATCAGCATCAGCGCATGAAAACAAAAAGAAGCAACTGACAGCATTAGTAACTAACCTTTTCAAGAAACTGGAGGTTTCAAGATATCTGTTCCAGGCTATAACAGGTTCCACATTATCAACGGTATCAGAGGCATTTGTGAGAAATTGTGTGAAGGCAATGAGGCTTCTGAAACTAGTGCGGCTGTGTCTGATATCAGCTGTTTGTTGAATGGAATAGTGGTTGTTGGGAAACAACTCGCTGCCATCTGTGCTCTCATTGTACTTGGATTGATCCTCCCCTAAAAAGTCGAGTGTCGCATTGTAGTCGCCAGAATAGAGGATGCCGTTTTCATATACACCAGAGCCACCACCAAACTCATTTCGCAAGAACTGGGTTTTGTAATCTTCCATTAAGCCATAAAGACCGTAAGGTTGATCGTTCATAAAGACACGGACAAAGGAGAAGCCGGGTACAGCGAGTCCTGCTGCTCTAGCAATATCTGAAGCAAGATGCTCCCTTAGATAAGAAGGATCAGACGCCAGTGATCGCAACAAAAGGTACTTGTGAGAACCCAGTGTCTGATTTTTGTGAGAGACATCCAGTTTAAAGGAAGGTTTAGGCAGATATCTCGACTCGGGAGTAGATCCAGAGACACTGACTTGCACCTTTTTGTATTTCTTCACTTGATCAGGGCTACTTTATGTTAGTACATGGACATATAGTTGCTTTACTGTATCACACTTACGTAATATAGACCATGTCCATGGACACTGGATCACTTCTACAGAGATTATCCAAGGCCTTTAATTTGTAATTGCGAGCAGATAAGTAGATGGTTGGGATTTGGCCCTCGACATGTAATCCAGAATCGCTCCTGTCCAAAGACTCGATGGGCTCAAGAACCTGCGGGAGTGTAGGTACATCCATGGTGGTCCAAGTGCGATTGTAGAACTCGTTCAATGTGGCATTGCCAGACACGGCTGATCTGCTAAATGTTTCTTTCTCAATGACACTGCTCTCATCGTTCAATTTGACGTATTGATAGTGCTGTCCAGAGGGAGCAGAGCCTGTAAAAATCAAGGGGCACTCACCGGATCTGTTCAATGGATAGGTTTGATTGTCAACCATGACACCAACAGACTGTCCTAGAACGACAGGCGCAATGACATTGTATGTGGTGTTTGTCGCTTGTGCTGCTGCAATGGAAGTGAGTGCAGCAATGCCTGCCACTGAGCTTTATGTGTTAGTCGGTGTGCATTGTCATTGCGCAAATCAGGACTTACGTGCTACCAACGGATTCATGGTTGGGTGTAATTACAAAGAGGTGCGGAAATTATGTCGTCCAAAAGTGCATTTATATAAGGCAATGGATGTTTCAAATTGGGGTCGTATCATTTGTCCGGTTTTACATTGAAATGACATTTGATTAGCTTCATCCGACGGATCCAGCAAAAAAAAAAAAAAAAAAAAAAAAAAAAAAAAAAAAAAAAAAAAAAAGCAAACTTGATAAACCATGGAGCAGATCACAAGAGAAGAGAGGCCATAATGAAGCAAATCTAATGTGGGTTAAGGTCCCGACAGAACCAGCTATTGTTGCAATGTGTCATCAACCAAGATAGTAGCCGCGGTTGAATGTGTGTTGATAATTTGTACAAAACTTTTTGTTGTTCAGTTTCAATCGCCTTGAAAGAGAAATGTGCCACTAGGCCCAGCAACTATTTTTAACCTGCAAATGAAGCAGGTTTGATGGCAGTCATCACAGACTGCACAGCTCAACTGAACCATTTGAGGCGCTCGATGCATGGATTTGTTTGAGATAATGTTGTAGGCAGTATCGCGTGCGTGGTCAGGTTACTGGTAGAGAACATGTATTATGCGGCAATCCTTTGAAATCCAAGTTTTTTTCAAGGCAAATTTAAGGGCACCACCTGGCAGCGATTATATATATATCAAGAAAAGGAGGAAAAACGGCTACTAAAAGATGCAACTACTTATAAGCTACCAATTGAGAAGAAAAAAAAAGCTTATTTATAGCCAAAATAAAACTGTATTTAGCTGAGGAATGTCCCATTTATACATTTATTGTCAAACCGAGAATTCACAAAAGTGTAGCTTGCTATAAAGAGAGTCCAACATCGTTTATTGATTCCAAATGCAGTAGAGAATGAAGGAATTACTTGGTAAAACCATCAAGATGTGTCATTCCATAATCAAATTGCGACTGCGATCATTTGCATATGATTTCTCATATCCCAAATCATTGAGGATAATACAACACTACATGATATTGCCGTCTGATTCCAAGAAGCTAAAATCAGGGATGGCTATGCAAGCGTGATCACCAGCTTGCATCCTATAAAAGCGTATTGCCAGCCACACGAAATTTGTTTGTAGTTATCAGCCCTTGTTTTGTACAACCTAAAAACAGAAAAAACCCAACATTAACAGAATATAATGAATACAGTGCCATGTCTTATTTGCCCTGATATGATTTAATTTATTGCAAATTTCAAAAACCAGACAGAGCTCCCTGGAATGGATCCCTCAATGCGATTTGGAATGACGATATATTAATCAGAGGCAAAAAGCAAAGCTCACTAATAGACCATAGTACGCTGAGCATAGCATTAGTGCAACTGTGTAATGACAGAAAAAAGCTACACGTGTTATGGTTCATACAAACCCATTTGTCCCACCCAACAGGAGCAGTGATGCTATATTGCTCTGAGGGAGCATGAAATCAACATCAACAGCAATCATCAGGTATAAATAGAGGGCTTGATGTCTTGCTCTCACTCTGCCTCCTTCTTATTTCTACTTTCTTTATCAATCTATATATGCTTCAAAAACCACAATTGCTAGTGTTACTGCTAGGCATCTCAAATGCAATTGCACAAAACATAACCTACAAAGTAGTGACAACAGCCATTGACCATGATAGTCCACACGCTATGGGTGTACTCATTGACAACTACAAAGTGCCATTTCCATTGATCGCATCGGATGACATGCCATACATCTACACAGGCAATGCACCCATTGCAAAGACTGGATACAGTTATGTTCGTTTCAACAAGGACTCACAATCACTAGAGGAAAGAGAAGCATTCACAAGAGGTGCTATTGAAACAGACTCCATGTTTGAGTTCTACAACAGATCTCGCAACACATATAATGTCCCTGAATTGCCTCAGCTATACGAGCCCGTCAATGCCATGCATAGAGTGGCATCCAACCTACATTACAGCGACAGAATTCCAACATTTTTCCTTTCTGGTGACATTTCTGCTATTCAAGCCAATTCCTCTAAAGGCATTGATGCAGCAGTAGATGTTACCTATGTTGGGTACGTCTAGTGAACTCAGAGGAGCCAAATGGCATATGACTAATATCTTGTTGAACGACAGTTTGGACGAGGCCAAAACCCTTAAAGGGGCAAAGATTCAGCTGTCTGGCCGTGGTACTAGAAATCTTCCCAAGGCATCCTACAAAATCAAGTTTAATAAGAAGGACATGCTCTTTGGCTACAGAAAGATCAAGTTTCGCTCTCTCACGACGGACCCATCGTATATTCGGGAGAAATTAGCCTTTGATGTAGCAGAATCATTTGGACTTCCTACTACCCGATATTCCTATGCCAGGTAACATGAATTGCATTTTCTATTTTCTGCGCAATATACTAAATATAGATCAGGCTGTTCATCAATAACAAGCCTTATGGTCTCTTTGGTCTCGAGGAAGATTTCTCTAATCCTTGGGTTGCAAATGAATTCAATAATGGTGTCAAGGAGGGCTTCAATCAAGGCATTCTCTACAATGGTGCCATTCGCTCTAACCTGGAATACCTTGGTGAAAGTGAAAAGCCTTATCTTGCAGTCAAGGTCAAAAGATTTGGTGACACGGCATACAGCATCAAAGCAAAGCCCACACAGGGAAAAGCAGACATGAAAAAGTTGATTGCTTTGACTAAATTCCTCAAAAACGCTCCTTCTACGGAGCCAAATGCTGTAGCTATCTGGAATCAACATTTGGACACAGACAGTGTACTCAGAAGTCTTGCACTAGAAGTATTTTTGGGAGATACCGATGGTTACATCAGCAGTGGAGATAACTACTACATTTACGAAGACCCAGCTCATCAAGGTCGATTTGTGTACATTATCTACGATCTCGATTTGACTCAAGGCTCTGCTTCTCGTCACTATGTTTCTCAAACATTGAAGGGAGACTACACCAAATTCTTGGGCTACAGTGAAAAAAGACCACTCTTGCACCAGATTCTTAAGGTGCCTGAATTCAAATCAAAATTCGAGTCTATTCTTCGCAATGTCATTCAAAAGCAAAGAGATAACCAAGACTTTTTATACCAACGCATTGATGCTCTCTCTGTCATGCTCCAGGAAGATGTCGCCTGGGATAAGTCCATCTCGAGAGAAAGCCGTGAAAACACCGTGAGCCAGTATCTGGAAAAAATCATTGAAAATGGCAAAGAGAACAATGGCAAACCTGCTGAAGCAAATGTGGTTGATTACTCTGAGAGAATCTTGTATAACGATATCCCATTTGATACTGCCGTCAATGGCACTATCAATCGCTTGACCATTATGGGTTTGAAAGAATGGTACTCCAAAATGGTTGAATCCTACTCTTCGTTTGTATAAATAGTTTATGTATACCAATTTTACCTAGTCACCTCCTAATAAATGTTTGCTTTACCCCTTGATTTCATGTATTTATACATCTAAAATTCATTTTAAATACAACAGTTACCGAGATTGATGGACAAGAGGGAGCTTTGGTGTAGGATGCCGTCATATTGAGTAGTGCAAAGGTGTATGAAATCATCGTCCTTCACATCCAAGCCAGACTCTGTAACGTCATTGATTTATGCCATTTAAGTGATATGTTCTAGGGCGCAATGACATGTTTATATATAAATGCCATTCCAATCGATGTATTTATAAACAATAAAATTAATACTAATTAAAAAAGGAGGAGTTCACAGTGTGATTTATAAATTTAGGCAAATGTTATATATGCCATTCTTTAGATAGAATGTTTTGAACCGCCAAAAATGTGGTCTTTTGCTGCTGATCCTGTGTTATGTGCACCTATTTTTAACTCACAACCAAAGAGTTAAAATAAACAAACAGGAGCATCTGAAAATGTAAGTAGTTATATTTATACTTGAAAGGCATAGTGAGGAGTAACTTATGTCATGGTGTAATTTGATATAAAATAGAGCTCTGTCTCTTACTCTTTCTCTTTTCTCTATCTTACATTTACTTTTGTCTACAATGTCTATTACTACTTCATGCTTAATAACTAGCAACGCTGCTTGCCGCAAACGAAAGAGATCGTTGGGCTCACATGTCCGTTTTTCTACTCAACCACAAAGTATTATCTACACCTACTCACAGTCAGATTATGATCGCAGTGGGTTATCATCGCCCGAGATCCAAACACAGCATGACAAGCAGAAATTCATACTAGCATTAGCCATCAATTTTGTCGGTTCTGTCGCTTCTCCTCCATCTCCACCAGCAGAGCAACCAGCATTCGTCAAAAAATCAAAGAACAAGAGACCCAAACTCTCAATTGATACAACCAACTTGCAAGGCCCTCTATATTTTACAAATATGACAACAAATCATCAAAAGAAAGCATTAGCATCACCGCCATCACCAGTGGAGGGAGTTGACGAACTTGAAGAACTTGATATCATTACCAAAGAGAATACTCGAAGAAACAGCTTGCCGCTGGTATTGTAAGCTTTCCACAGATCCAATAGTGTACATACATATATATATACATAATACATACAATCCTTAATACACGCTGCTGTTTGCACAAACCTAATAAATACAATTCATTGGCATGTTTAACTATATTTCGATATTATCTATATATTTATAAACATGTGTACGGTTGGTTTCATTGACACATAAAGCTGCTGGATAAACACCAAATCAATTAAAGCATGGCGGTATTACGTTACATGCACATGTACATTTTAACTTTTTCTTTTACTATGCGATATAGTATAATGAATGTAAATTAATTGAGTCAGCCTTGGAAACCAGCCATAAGTGAAAGAGTCTCCTTCAACAACTCTCCTTTCATACAGTGTTCATTGTGTTTTAAATCATCTCTTCTTAGCCTTCCACTCCCTGATATTAAGTGATCGCCATAATGAGGATAGTAAATGATCCATGTTTATCTGTGCCAAGATGCAAGTGAAAGTTCACTGTGCGTCTCTTTTTATAGCATTTACAAGGAAGACGTGTGATAAATTATTTATTGCTAGTTTGGTATAAATGTTGCAGGGAACTAGTGTCTATCCTTGAATCATCTATCTAATCAAGTGGCCCCTTTTTAACCGGATTAGTTGTCAATGATAAGCTTCATAAGTGTTATGCCAACTTGAGATATTGATGCTTTAAAATTCTTCATTCGGTCTCAAGTGTTCATTCCAGTAAATTTTCTCTCGATCTGCTTGGGGATGGCACTGTTTGCCCTGTCGGATATAAAGCCGGAGTGTGCGTTATGCCGGCCGATTGCTTGATTTATCCTTGGAAATCTTCGTAACTAAGAGGGCCCACTCTTCACTCAACAAGGAGTACGGTTGCTGATTGTTGATGAAAGTGATTGTATATATTTTGCCGTAGTGCTGTGCGATTGCTTCAGGCTTCTTTTTGGCTCTTCCTTCGCTACTGCACTGCCATTTAGACATTCCACTTTTGAGCTTTGCAAGTCTGCCGCATTTTGATGTCGAATCACGCCGTTGGTCACCTCTATGAACAGATGAGAAGCAACTCTGCCAGCCATTCTATTGCCTTCTTTTTGTTTGAAGGCAGATTTATGATAATTGCCGTAAGTGTCCACTGCTACAGGCTGATGCTTCAAATGGTCTAAATAATGAGAGCTGTATCTCTGCTTTGAGTATATCCTCTTCTGGTCATATTTGGTTCTAACCTGTTGGAAACGTCGAATCCATCGCACTCTTTGTCTTTAAATATTTCTCTGTCTTGTTAGCATCTGTTTACATGAAGGAGGATTCTCATGTTTTTCGAGGCACTGATGTCTGCAGCTGCTAAACTGTTTGTTAGTAGTAGAAAGAGAGAGAGAGAGAAACAATTCTTTAGGCAACCAAAACAACTCACAATGCATATTAGCGATCATTCAGTTGATAAATTATAGTGGCATGTCGATGAGATGGCATTTACAATGTTATTCATTAAATGTACTATACAATGGGGTCCTATAGCATGCATCCTCAAATTTTTATTTCTGGTTTTTACCCACATGGAAGGGCCCTTTATGTACGACTCATTCTACAATGGTTCATACCTATACCATTGCAAAACAGTTTATATGTGGGTATGCAGTTTACATGCGTTGCCTCTTACTACTCGCTTGTACGCAAATCACAGCAAAATCTGGATGCATTTGGGGCTCGAATTTTCGTGCTAGATGCCATTTTAGATTGTCAGAATAGCACCAAACACTTGCTCTCATCTGACAGTTACTTTCTGACGCCTTTGCTCAACTTTTTGGGGACCCAAAAAGACATGGCCAAAAATCGACCAAAAAGCATGAGGGGCACCTCATGGTTTTCAACAAAAATCAAACAATCGCGTTTTTGACCCCAAAAATGAAGACTTTTACTATGGTATATATTAAATCAAAACGTTTCTCTCGGTCCAAAGCAACCATGGAAGGCTTGTGCTTGAGTCCTTTATATGCAAAACCTCTACATTTTTGCCAAAAACGACATTTCGTATTCTCAAACATTGCTCAGAAATCCTATTCATAACACCTTGTTTGATTTGCGTTGGTAGATGCGCCTTGAAAAGCACTCCAAGGAAGCTTAAGGAAGTATGGGATGATCAGCACAATTTTATAGTCCAATAGCGCAAAATAAGTCGACAGAGTTGCAAATCGACCAAAATTAACGAATTGAAGCAGAAAGCTGAGCTGAGATTGCAGCAATTTTGGCGGCTGCTTTCCATCCTGATTGTGAAGGTAGCCTATGCTGTTGGGAGGGCTCATGAGAAGGGGATAGCGAATTGAAAAAAGTACAATCGCTCAGCCTAAATACCTCAGTTTGCTTTTTTGGTAGTAAAATGTGCCTATAAAGTTCAATCGTTGCAGTTTTCGAATCTCAAATAAACCCCTACTAAATGTGAATGCAAGATGGTCTCAACGGCAATGAGAGTAACTAACATAATATGCAGCAAGATTATAGAGTCATTTGTTCAAATTTACTTTATAAAAACACAATGGTTGCCTCAACCTTAAATGCATAGCAGCTGCGGCCATGTACATGTTCTAGCATTTCAGAAAAGGGTTCAACATTTCATGATGGTAATGATTTCAGTGGTTGTAGCGCGTCTCGGGCTACTTCTTTATCTCTGAAGATTCTTGTTCGTGGGCTCCAGTGAGTCGCACCGTTCTCTATGGTTTTTCTCTAAACTACATGCCCTGTGGTTCCGCCCTGCACAGCGCTATCAAATTCAACGATGAGCCCATCCTTTAATTTAGCACAGTCGATTTAGATCAGAAAATTGTCTTTTGTTCCACAATCCCTATCTTCAATAACAGTATGTAGAACTGGAACAAGGTTTGGAGTGTAGTCGAGATACGTAATATTACCACTGTTCTCAGTATCATAACATAATAGATTTATAGTCCCTAGGCACTTTCACAGCGCTAATATGGAAACTAAGTTGCCAGGTATTTGTTAGGCCTAGCTCATATATGATCAACCAAGCCTCACCAGCTAAAATTAATTCAACCCCAGAATCATAGTCTGTTCTAGATTGGACAAATCTTAGTAATTTTGGACTCGATCGAGCTATTTTTTCAGATTCGACTAAGTGAAGTATGATAATCACCCCATGCTTCCTTAAGCTTTCCTGGAGTACTTTTCAAGGCGCATCCAATGGTACTAAGTAATATAGATGTTTTGGATAAACTTATCGAATAATTTATGAAAATATGAAAAGAGGTTTCTGGCAAAAATGTCGAAATTTTACATATCAAAGTTCCACAAAGATGATTTCAGAGGTTGCTTTGTATCGATAGAAACATTTTGATTCAAGATATACCATAGTAAAAGTCTTCATTTTCAAGATGAAAAACGCGATCGTTTGGTTTTCGATGAAAATCATGAGGGGTACCTCATGCTTTTTGACCGATTTTTGGCCATGTTTTTTTGGTCCCCAAAAAGTTGAGCAAAGGTATCAGAAAGTAATTCTTAGATGGGAGCAACTATTTGGGGCTATTCTGACAATCTAGAACGGCTTTGAACGCGAGAAAACGCAGCTCAAATGAACTCAAATTTTGCTGTATTGGCACACTCTTGACTAAAAAGGGATAAGATCTGTAAGATACTTGCCCGTATATGAAGCAGCTACGTGTATATGGATGTAGAGCATCATATAAGAATTAGATCCACAGATAGTATGAAAAGTTTTCATGTGTAAGTGGAGGGTCAAAATGAAAGTAGCAATATGTTGACAAGATACGCAAGGGCAATCGGTAGCGCGAGCAACTGCTGCGCAGATTGGTTCTTACCGAAGCGAAGCGAAGGCAAAGAGCCGTCCAAAGCATATACGCTAGTATATCTTAATATAAACCCAGGTTCTTTTATTAATGAGCACGCGAGACAGATACTCATCATCGCTTGTATTGATCTTCAAACTCTTCAAAAGACGGAGAGACGACAGCGTAATGAACAGCTTGAATGGCTCTACCATACGAACAGCATCAATAGTCAGCTTCTCAAGATTAGGGCTAAATCCATTTTCAGCCAAGCAGCAGCATGTTTAGCTTATAACTTGTTGTCCGTGTGCAACAAGAGCTAATACCGAAGTTTTGAATCCATCAAATATAGGTAAAGTGTCCCTCTGGTGACTGAGTCTCGACGCTATAGTTTTTAACAGAACCAGATCTCTTGGCTTGTCATCCTGGATCATCAAGCAACCTAGTACACGTCGTGTCCTTATCATGCACTAAGTTCAGCTTGGACTTAACAGGCATTGCTTCATATCCAGGCTCAAATCTACGACAATGAACTTTGACGACAGAGAACCGTACATCAAGTATGCATATCCGCATGAAGCGCCGGGATTGTGTCTAAAATGGAGCTTGGACAGTTCTCAAATTGTGTCTGGTGATGCCGATCATAAAGGGAGGCTGTACCATATTGAAACAGGCAAGCAGGTGGAATTTGCTCATCATGAGGTATCTATCAAACCAATAGTGTTTGCGGGTTACAATTTGATGGTGACAGACAGTCGGGGCAAAACTATCAAATATTGGGATATAAGAGCGACTGGTTCAGCTGGCATACTCAGTCTTTCAAAACGAATCTACACGATGGATGTATGTCGCTCATGGATTGTTGTGGGTACAGCAGATAATAGTGTGCATCATATCGATACCATGGCTCCAGACACCATCATGAAGACCATGGCATCGCCATTGGAGCACCAAATGCTGAAGATAAGATGTTTTCTAAAAGGAGACGGCTTCGCAATGTCGTTGATTGAGGGAAGAGTAGCGATAGAGTACACAAAGCAAATAGATCAAGCGTTACAAGGGCTTTTAGTATTGTTGTTTATATTGATTGTTTATTTGTTTGTATTAATCATGTAGAAAGAGCTTCACCTTCAAATGTCATCGAGACGAGAATAATATATTTGCAGTAAATGATCTTGATTTCCATCCCAGTGAGCAAGGTACCTTATTAACAGCAGGATCAGACGGAACTATCAATATTTGGAAAAAGATAAACGGCAAAAATCAAAGGCATATAGCAGGGTGGATGGACACATTTCCTGTGCAGCATTCAGTCGAGACGGGATTGCCTTTGCTTATGCAGTCAGCTATGATTGGTCCAAGGTACGGCACACGCATGAATCATGATGCTCGGGAATTATTCAATAACATCCCCAAAATCAAGGGGTACAAGTTTGCAACAGATACCAACAAGATATACATTCATGACATGGAACAATTTGAATGAGCTTTTACGCCCAAGATGACGATTTGTTTAAGCTCGCACAGTTCAACTTGAAATAATTCTAATTTAGAGCAGAAAATTTGTAGCACACGAAATAAATACAAAATGTCAAATTACAGTGAGAGGATGAGAAACGCTGCGTTTTAAAAGCACAGCAATGCAATTAGAGAAAAAAGCTTAATATATATAAATTTCATCATATTGGTGAACCCGTGATAAGACAAGAAATCTATTTGAATGAGCAATATAAATACATGACCTATTTCTTTTTTTTTACTGAAATTTCCATCTCTTTTACTCTTTTTTCTTTGTTTCCCCCTTTCACATCACATCGCATGAATAGCAATCAACAGGGGCCCACTGAGAGATCTTCTCTGTTGGATAGAAGGAGATCCTCTCAAATGCGCAACAACAGGCATTATACCGAAGGCCAAAACCTGTCCATACCATTGCCATCTCCATTTAGAGAACAGGAACCAATTGCGTTTCCTGCCGCTCACAATGCTACTACTACTCCTTCTCAAGACAAACACAGATTCAAGTGGTTCAACAAACGAACAGGCTTTTACGATGAAGATCGGCAGGACTTGGTCAAGGAAAATACAGGTGTTCGTGTGTGGAGTGAATCGTACTCGAGTATAGGTAATTGTCTGATTTGACAGCATGTGCTATACAATAGCATTGCCGGTTGCTAACAGGCTCTTGGCATGTAGATTGGATCCATGACAGAATCAAAGAGGGCGTGCGAAGACGGAAATTTCGAGATACTCCAGGATTGCGGGGCGAGCTAATGAAGGCAAATGATGCATCACAGGCATGGATCTTGGTGATACTTATCGGGGCTGCTGTTGCTGCTATTGCATGGTTTATTGATGTTGTTCAAGAATGGATGTCTGACCTAAAACTAGGCTACTGTACCACCAATTGGAGATTGAATAGTAACTTTTGCTGTTGGGAACAAAAAGGTACACACGCTCTATTTCAGAGTTTCGCAGTGATAAAATTAACGCACTATTGCAGAAGGAACATGTCATGCTTGGAAAACGTGGCCCCAAGTATTCGGAGTGGAGGGCAAGACTGCAAGCTATTACACTGCAATGGCCATGTACACTGCATTTGGTGTAGGTATTGGTAGAAACAATCGATTCAGGAGCTAAATTAATTCCAATTTCATTTAGTTGTTGTTTTCATTAATTGCTGCCTTAATGGTCAAGTACACGGCTGAAAAGGTCAAAGTGCGTAGACCTACCAAAATGCAGCCATTCTCCAAATCACCTTCTATGGCGTCTATACCCTATGATGAGGTCAATGATAATGATGACCGTCTGCATGCTGCTCCTTTACACAAGGATGTAACTGCTGATGAATCCCTATATGAAACCAAAAACGCCTACTACTGTGCTGGCTCTGGTATTCCTGAAGTCAAGGTCATTTTGGGAGGCTTTGTTATTAAAGGATTTCTGGGTATCAAGACACTGATCGTCAAGAGCGTTGGAATGGTAATAACCCTAATTTATTTGTATATACCGTATGCTAACATGGCCGCCAGATATTCTCTACATCTGCCGGTTTGAATTGCGGTAAAGAAGGCCCATTTGTGCACTTGGCTTGCTCGGCAGGCAACATTGCATGTCGACTCTTTCCCAAATTCAACAAGAATGAAAGCAAGCGACGAGAAATCCTCAGTGCTGCTGCTGCTGCAGGCGTTGCAGTTGCATTTGGTGCGCCAATAGGTGGTGTTTTGTTTAGCTTGGAGGAGGTTAGCTACTATTTTCCAATGAAGACCATGATTAGAAGCTACTGCTGTGCCATGGTAGCTGCTATTGTCCTCAAGGTTAGACCCGAAACATGATACAAACAAAAATTCCCAGAAAACTGAACCTTAATCATAGATTACAGATCCCTTTGGTACTGGAAAAATCGTGCTATTCCAAGTTTCATATGACAAGGAATATCACTTATTTGAGATGGTACCGTTGATCTTGTGCGGTGCATTCGCTGTAAGTGGTTCTTTCTATGCCTGGCTCAATACATGACATACTAACGCTCTGTTTTGCTAGGGGTTTTTTGGTGCATTTCTGACCTACTTCAACATCAAGTTTCAGCACTTTAGAAAGAGCAGCAGCCTCAAGAAATACCCAGTAACAGAGGTATTGGGCATCATGCTGCTGACTGCCTTGGTGAGCTACTGGAATCCGTTCTCGCGTATGGGTCTCAGTGAGTTTGCTTACAACCTGTTCTCTGAATGCACAGCTACCAACGACAATGGCGGTCTCTGCGCGTAAGAAAATGCTCCATTGGTGATCGCTCGTAGGCATGTATACTCATCTCTTATATCAATAGACGCACTGTGGCAGAGATACCCAATCTACTCTACCTGTTGATGACTACCATGGTAATCAAGATGAGCCTCACTGTGGTCACATTTGGCTGCACTGTTCCTGGAGGCATATTTTTACCGAGTTTGATCATTGGAGCTATCACAGGGAGAGTGATAGGTTTGATTATGCAATACTTGACTCTAACGTATCCAAATGCATGGCCGTTCACAGCATGTGCCCAGGATCTCGCAACACGTGGAGAGTGTGTCATTCCTGGAGTCTACGCAATTGTGGGAGCTGCTGCTGGATTGGCGGGCGTGACAAGAACAACCAGTAGGTGCAAAACACATCTGTTCAGATGCAATCGAGTGCTTATCATATACTGTAGTTTCTCTCGTGGTTATCATGTTTGAGTTGACGTATTCTCTAACATATGCACTAGTAAGTCGCAAGATTGAGTACGTATTGCATTACAAAGGCTGACACGCTTCTTTCCCCCCCTACATCAACTTTAATTTGTTTGTTTGGGTGTTTTCATTATTTAGCCTATCATGATTGCTGTGATGGTAAGAATCTACAAACGATGCCAAACGCACATCAGATACTGATAGTCATCTTAGGTGGCCAAATGGATAGCTGATGCCATGTTTGTCGAAGGCATCTACGATCTGCTCATTGAGCTCAAAGAATACCCGTACCTGGAGGCGAGAAGAGAGTACGTGCACACAATGACCATTATGAACATTACCGAATATCTCTCCACCATTGATGTGAATACGCCCATCACCATCAACAAACTGAAACAAAAGCTCAAAATCATTGGCGATATGGGCTATGCGGAAGATGGCGGATTTCCCATTTTGAGTGATGGCGATATTTTGGAAGGTTATATTGCCACGAGCGAAGTCAGCCATGGATTAGAGCAACTAGAAAAGACCTTGGGATCCAGCATGTCTGAAGGTGAACTCGGTCAGGTACCTTGCTATTTTGATAGACTCATGAACGACACGGCAACTGGTGGTGTGTCTGTTCATCATTCTTCCGCAAACATGATCAACCAAGACCTAAAGACACCAGTGCGAGACTTGCTACAAGTAGAGAATATGATGGCGGATCACCATAACCAACCGGAATCAATGATCTCAACTAGACAATCATTGAATGACTTTTCACAATACATAGATCATGTAAGACATCATTCTCACTAGTCGCGTAATAGCTGCTAACCTCACATGTCCATTGTCAGGCACCGCTCACCATTAATCAGAATGCTTCCATGACGTTATTGATGGACATGTTCACTAAACTAGGCGCAAGATATGTTTGTGTCACTCATTCGAATGGAAGATACTTGGGGATCATTCACAAGCGTAGACTGCTGGCTTATTTAAAGGAACTGGACGAAGAAGATGAATAGACAGCTATTGTAGCAGCAAATAACCTTTACACATAAATATATAGTTTTCTTCAATGTATAATAAACCACTTATCTCTTTACATAATTCCACTAATAGTTGCCAAGATTTCATATAATGACTCACGTCTGTATCAGTAGGGAAAGCTCAAATTTGGACAGATAATATGCTTGCATTGCCTCTTACTACTCGCTTGTACGCAAATCACAGCAAAATCTGGATGCATTTGGGGCTCGAATTTTCGTGCTAGATGCCATTTTAGATTGTCAGAATAGCACCAAACACTTGCTCTCATCTGACAGTTACTTTCTGACGCCTTTGCTCAACTTTTTGGGGACCCAAAAAGACATGGCCAAAAATCGACCAAAAAGCATGAGGGGCACCTCATGGTTTTCAACAAAAATCAAACAATCGCGTTTTTGACCCCAAAAATGAAGACTTTTACTATGGTATATATTAAATCAAAACGTTTCTCTCGGTCCAAAGCAACCATGGAAGGCTTGTGCTTGAGTCCTTTATATGCAAAACCTCTACATTTTTGCCAAAAACGACATTTCGTATTCTCAAACATTGCTCAGAAATCCTATTCATAACACCTTGTTTGATTTGCGTTGGTAGATGCGCCTTGAAAAGCACTCCAAGGAAGCTTAAGGAAGTATGGGATGATCAGCACAATTTTATAGTCCAATAGCGCAAAATAAGTCGACAGAGTTGCAAATCGACCAAAATTAACGAATTGAAGCAGAAAGCTGAGCTGAGATTGCAGCAATTTTGGCGGCTGCTTTCCATCCTGATTGTGAAGGTAGCCTATGCTACGTTAATAGGACTTTAAACAATTTTATTAATAAAACAATAATCTTCCTTAAAGAAAAAAAAAAGGTAACCTATGCTGTTGGGAGGGCTCATGAGAAGGGGATAGCGAATTGAAAAAAGTACAATCGCTCAGTCTGGCTACTACAATTTGCATCTGTTACAGGTCTTTATATCTTCAAAGGCAGCGGAAGAATTAAAATGCATAGAGAAGCCAACTATGAAGGCTATGTCATTATACTAACGGCTGTCATTCGTTTGTTGGACAATTGTATCAAAAACGATTAAATCAATAGATCTCAAAGATATGATGATTCTCTCATTTTGTGTTACTTTCCATCAAGGGCATACAATGATAAAGGTTGTCTTGCTGCTCTTTATTGGATGTATGTTATCTATTATCAATTACAAGAGGAGCTAAGAGATAACAGGACAAAGCTGTACTACACTTTTAGATAAATAACAAGATTTTTATTGGGAAAACAAGGCGTATACGCTTATGCAGACTCAGATGCGGCCTCCTCCTTTCTAGGCTTGAAACATTTGGGCATTTGTGATTGATGATAGACAGGCACTTGCTTCTTGTCAGAGCCTTGAGCAAAGTTTGGTGGCTTGGGGACAAGACCAAGCAACTCAAACATCTTCTTGTCATCAGAAAATTCATTGTTGGGGGTAGTCAACAATTTGTCGCCGGTAAAGATGGAGTTGGCACCAGCCATGAAGCACATGGCTTGTTCAGGAACAGAGAAACGGACACGACCAGCGGAAAGACGAACCATGGATTTAGGCATGATGATACGAGCAGTAGCAATCATACGGATCATTTCAAAAACAGAGACAGGCTCTTGCTTCTCCAAGGGAGTGCCTTCAACAGCCAACAAAGCATTAACAGGCACACTTTCGGGATGTTGCTTTAATGTGGATAAAGTATGTAATAATCCGACTCTGTCTTCGCCCTTCTCACCCAAACCAATGATACCTCCAGAGCAGACAGAGATGCCAGCATTTTGAGCATTGTCAATTGTCTTGAGACGTTCATCGTAGGTACGAGTAGTAATGATCTATACATGCGCGCCATAAGTAGGCTGTATTTCGTATCAAGACCGATCATCTTCTTACCTTGGGATAAAATTCACGAGAAGTATCCAAATTGTGATTGTAAGCTGTCAAACCAGCATTTTTCAGGGCCTTGGCTTGTTCTTCATCCAACATTCCCAGGGTACAGCATACCTCCATGCCCATAGAGCTACAGCATTGTTACTACACGTGCTGGTTGGGGTTCATGCTCTTTTGTTCCATCTTACCGAATGACCTTGACATGGTCTAAAATCTTGTTAAAGTTGGACTTGCGACCAGCCAAATCTCTCCAAGCAGCACCCATACAAAATCTACCGCCCAAAAAATTTAATTTCCCTGATTTCCACAGATGACTGTAACATTACCTTGTACTACCGGCATCTTTGGCTCTTTGGGCAGCAAAGAGGATTTCTTCTGAATCAAGGATCTTTTGGGCCTTGACAGAAGTCTTGTAACGAGATGATTGGGGGCAGTATTTGCAATCCTCGGTACAGCCACCGGTCTTGATGGATAACAAAGTACATTGCTGGACTTCTCTAGGATTAAAATTCTCACGGTGTACCTTGGCCTAAAGTTGGATGAATAAAAATTGCTCGATTCCTTTTGATCTCTGGCATGTGCTTTCACAAAACTTACACCGTGGTAGAGCAAATCCATCAATGGAGAGTCGTAGATGGATTGAATTTCATCGCGAGTCCAATCGTTTCTCATGGGACCACTGGCATGAAGAGCAGCAGCAGACAATGCTTCGGGAGTTGTCTTTTGGGTAACAGCAGCAAGACGAGAAGGCAAGCTAGTGCTCAAATGACGGCGGCTATTTTGAAGAGGTCTAGCTATTAAACGGAAGGCAGACATGTGTGCGAAGAGAGAGTTGGGGAAATTGAAAAAGAAAGAGAGGGTGTAAAAGGAAAAAGAGGAGGAGCAGATGAAATGAAAGCTATTTAAATGAAAATCGCGTTTTTTTTTTTTTTTTTTGCAGCTTTCCAGAGACATGCCAATGAGATTGATCAACCTTGTCCTTTCACATTGCAAAAAGAAAAAACAGTTGGGGATATCGGATCTTCAACTAGAAAGGATCGAGCCTATTGCCCTGACTCCCATCAATGGACATCTTGTCCACGGATGCTGATGGTGTAGCCCCTTTCACACCAAACCTTGATGCCATGAGAGATTCCGGGTATTTTAAACTGAGTCAGCGCTAAATTGTTCACAAAAGAGTTACGGCAAAAGTTTCTTTCTTTCTTTTTATTAAAAAAAAAAAGTTGCGATGCCTACTCCATTCTTGCCTACGCGAGCATTTCAAGCCTACCAGATATTTGCTGCCAACACCAATGTGGGCAAGACCATATTCGCCACGGGTCTTTGCAGAGCTGCTGCTATAGTAGCAAAGGAGAGCAACCGTGATGTGTTTTATCTCAAGCCTGTACAGACAGGTTACCCAGTTGACAGCGACGAAAGGTATGTACTCAGATGCTAAGGCCAACATGCTTGACAGATGCTTAGCACCAAATCAATTAGACATGTCAAGACATACCACAATTCATCCATTCTCAATTCTGACACATTGTACACCTATCCTGATCCAGTGAGCCCTCATATTGCTACAGACAAAGTAAGGAGATGTCAATGGGATATCATATGTTATCAAACCAACGAAATGCTTAATTTCTCGACATTTAGCCTCCGCATGATATGGAAGTGCTGGATAAAGTCAAGCAGCAAATGTTAGACTATGTGCGACAACAAAAGCAGAATGGTAGCTACTTTTTCCTGGAAACTGCTGGAGGCATCCATAGTCCTGTCATGTCAGGTACGCTAGTTTGATGTTTTGGGGAGGAGTCTGCCAGCTTACACATTGCAATTAGGAACACCCCAAGTAGATTTCTATCGAACCTTAAGATTACCCACTTTGCTAGTCGGTGATAGTAATCTTGGTGGCATCTCTACTACACTGACTTCCTATGAATCGCTCAACATGAGGGGCTATGATATCCCCACAATTTTGCTCTTTGATCAACCCAACTACAGAAACCATGTTTTGATTGGGGATCGAGTCAAGGACATTATGGTCGCTACAATTCCACCCCCACCTGCCCCATTAGAGGACCCTGTCTTGGAGCAGCAATCCATGTCAAAATATTACGCACAAGTAGATGATTATCTCGTACCTGTCATTAAGCATCTCGATCTGAAACATATGGAGCGCTTTGACAGATTGGAAACAATGGCACAAAAGTCGCGAGACACCTTCTGGTGGCCATTCACTCAACACGAACTTGTCAAAGAGGTCACTGTCATTGATTCTGCCCATGATGACTACTTTACTACGTACGACAAGGCAGGAAACCCCAAAGAAATGTTCGACTCTTGCGCTAGTTGGTGGACACAAGGTCTTGGCCATGCTAACCCTGAACTGACCAAGGCTGCTGCTTATGCTGCTGGTAGATATGGCCACGTTATCTTCCCTGAATCAACGAATGAACCGGCTCTCGCTTTGGCTGAAAAGGTATTGGAGAAGGATGAATGGGCCTCTCGTGTTTTCTTTTCGGATAATGGATCCACAGCCATGGAGGTCGCATTGAAGATGGCCATGAGTGCCACTGCTAAGCGCTATGACTTTAGCATCAAGGCTCCCGTTGAAATTCTGGGCATTGATGGCAGTTACCATGGCGACACTATCGGTACAATGGATGCTTGTTCGCCCAACGTATACAACGAGCAAGTACAATGGTACGAACCCAAAGGCCATTGGCTCAAGCCTCCCTCTGTCCATATTTCCCACGGTCGTGCTTATGTCCGTCTCCCTGCCGAGATTGCTCAATATCACAAGAAGGACAAGGTCTACTACAATTCTGTCGATGACATTTACTCGGTTCAGGAACAAGGCCAAAAACGCGATGAGACTTTGGCTGCATCTTATGCCAATTACATCCGCTCTGAACTCAAGTCGCTCAAGGATCAAAAGCGCCGTATTGGATCTCTTCTGATGGAGCCTATTTTGATGGGTGCTGGTGGCATGATCTTTGTAGATCCTCTTTTCCAACGCACCTTAATTGATATCGTCAGAAATGAAGGATCCCAACTGCTGTATGGCGTGGATGAAAGCTCAGCTAAGGGATGGCAAGGATTGCCTGTGGTTTTCGATGAAGTCTTTGCTGGATGGTATAGATTGGGCAAGAGATCGGCTTCCGAATTCCTGGGAGTGGTAATAGACATTGTTAATCGCGTATGCTTATCTTATCACTCACTCGCCCCAACCGTTTTTAATTTAAATTAGACGCCAGATATTACTGCTTATGCAAAGACTCTGACAGGTGGGTTGCTGCCTTTAGCTTTAACCGTAACAAAGGAATCCATCTATGATGTATTCTTGTCTGAGAACAAGCCCGATTGTTTGCTACATGGCCACTCCTACACTGCTCATCCAATGGGCTGCGCTGTAGCCAAGACCTCCATTGAAAGCCTGGACAAAATGGCTGTCGAAAAATCCGGTGCCTGGGCTCCATTCCGTGATGCATGGAAGGGCAATATTTGGTCCATGTGGACACCCAAGACTGTAGATCAGTTATCCAAATTGGACAATGTGGAAAGCGTCATGACATTGGGATCAGTGCTGGCTGTTGAATTGAAGGATGATCAAACCAAGGGCTACGGCTCTTCTGTATCCAAGTCCATCATCCAATACTTGCGTTCAGGGCAATTCAAGAATGGCTTTGATGGAACCACAGAAACTGGCGTCAATTTGTTTGCTAGACCTCTCGGTAATATTGTCTACCTTATGACATCTCAGATCACAACACAAGAGCGTGTGCAACAATGTGAACAGGCATTATTAGAAACTCTAAAGAATAATTAAAACCTTGACGTATTCAATAAACATTGGTTTTCGGCCTAATCATGCATTTTGAGGTGATAAACATTTGACAGAGGTTATGATCGCTACTATTGGTAGATATGTGCCACACATATCTCTGATCCTGGTTGCCCTGGAAACCAAAGTTGGTTGCATATTTCGTGAGATTTGATAGCTGTCATTGCTCTTGCAAATACTACTTCTCTTTCTCTACAATATGTACCTTGATCCGAGATTTTCTTTCTAACCTTGCCTACTCCCGCCCAATACACAAAGCTTGATCCATCTGATTTCATACTTAATTTGACTAGCTGATTACAAGAATACTCTTTTCATTTTGATTTTATTTTAAACAAGAAACATTTTCATAAATTTAAAGAGTACGGGTGACTTGCCAGACACGAATAATGTTGTCAGAGTAACCAGAGAAGAGGGTGGCACCATCGGCAGACCAGCAGACAGACAAACAGTCAGGGTCAGGGTTCTTTCTCTTACCCAATTGAGGGAATTCAGGACGGAGGTCATCAACAACGGACTTGGACTCGAGATCCCAGATCTTGATACCGTTGGCGGTAGCAGCACAGAGCCAGTAACGGTTGGGAGAGAAGGTAAGAGCGTGGACGAGAGATCCAGCTTCGAGAGAGTAGAGATGCTTGGCATCGTTCAAATCCCAGAGCATGACAACACCATCCTTACCAGCAGAGGCACAGAGAGAACCATCGGGAGAGATGGTAACAGTGTTGACATAACCGTTGTGGCCAATGAAGTTGGTTCTCAACTTCATCTTGGTCAAATCCCAGACCTTGACGAGCTTGTCCCAACCACCGGAAACGATGAGAGGGTTAGCAGGGTTAGGAGAGAAACGAACACAAGAAACCCATTCAGAGTGACCATCTTCAGTGATGTTATACTTGCACTCACCGAGAGTGTTCCACAACTTGATGGACTTGTCACGAGAGCCGGAAACGATTTGACGGTTATCGGCAGAGAAAGAGACAGAGAGAACATCGTTGGTGTGGCCGACGAAACGACGGGTGGTGGTACCGCTGTTGAGGTCCCAAAGACGAAGAGTTTGATCCCAAGAGGCGGACAAAGCGAATTGACCGTCAGAAGAGATGGCAAGATCCTCAACAAAGTGGGAGTGACCAACAAGAGACTTACGAGGGACACCATAGTTCAACTCATCTCTATAATTAAGCCAATTAGCATTCCAGCAATCCAAAATCCACACTATCGACAGCAAGATCAAGAACAAAGACATTACCTGATAAGGTTCCAGACGATGATGGTCTTATCACGAGAGGCAGACAAAACCATATCAGGAGCTTCAGAGGTGGTAGCAATGGCAGTGACTATAATAATCAATTGAATGTGTCAATGTGTTGCTCTAAATACTCTATGCTGTGCGTGCGTGTGTGCGTGCGAATGTGTTTATATGTGTATTTGTGCTTTTGTGTGTGTATGTGTGTGAGTGTGTGTGATCTCTTACCCCAGTTGCCATGACCTAATAAAAAACAATGTGAATTTTAGTACATCCGTTTCGACCAACATATTCATCCATCCATCCATCTATCCGTCTCTATATCCCCTCATCCATTCGTTTCTAATATCGTATCGCCTATTACCTTCGAGAGTACCGCGCAAGGTAAGAGTATCCATTATTCGCGAGATGAAAAAGAAAGAAATCTCACTAGCATTGTTGCCTATTCCTTTTGATGTTGGATTTTTTTTCTTGTCTGGGACGAACCAGATAATTTGAACTTCAGATGTGTGCTGTGCCATTCGGATTGAAGCCTGCACATTCTTAATAAGAATAGCTCCCTGTGTAGGCTAGCGCTTGATGCAATGCTCTATTGTTTAGTACATACCATTACTAGCCAAACTATCTCGCTACGCTCGATGCCGGCGTCCCCCCTGCGGGCTCTCGCCAAAGACATTTTAAATCAGATATTATAATATTTGGTATATCAAGTAGATTTTAAACAACCAATTATTAGTAAAAAAAAAAAACTGCATCAGAGCCAGGAGGAGGAGAGGAGGTATCTCCCTCAGCATCCTTTTTGCTTACACTGATATCAAACAAAGCCTATTATTGGGACAATATGAAAGAACACTCAAATTTTATGCAGCATTCGTACATCACAATTGTCATATCATTCACTGCTGCTGATGCTCTTAATAAGATGGCGACATAAAGCTGGTCATAAGTAAATACAGGACTTGTGTAAGATCTACAGCGACTTTTTTGAGATATTGTGATTGCAAAAGACACCTTTATCAGGCAAAACTCCCCAGAAAAATATTCGGGCTAAGCAATTGTCCTTTCAATTTCATGATCCCCATTTAATCAGCATCGCAATCATCATTGTCATCAACAGAAAGGCATTTAGGTCAGCCAGCAGCAATGCCGCCGCCAAAACTAATTCAAACTCAGTTTATTTTTAAGATTGGACGGATTTCGTCTTTTTTCGACTTTTTTAATCTATTTTATACAACATCAATCTTGTCCCTGAGGCGATTTTGGTGAATATCCGCTCCACTGTTCGCCAGACAGTGGATGAGGATCAAATCCACTCCCTCTTGTAGTTTGGATAATTTCGAAAGTTCTGTTTAGGTTAGTTTAGTTAGTATTTTACCTTCTTTTTATTATTTTCTTTTCAATTGCACCCGCCTCTTCACTTCGACCCATTACTCCTAGTGTACGCGGCTCAATCAATAAACAAAATTTAACAAAAAAAAATCTATTTTATGACATTCGACTATATAAATCGTGATAACCACCCTACGCTTTCTAATACATTGTTGGAGTACTTTTCAAGGCGCTTCCAATGGTGCTAACTGTAATAAGTGTTTTGACTGAAATTATTGAGCAATTTGGTAAAATTTGAAATAAGGTTTTTAGCGAAAATAGCCATATTTTGCATATGAAAACCTCAGAAAAGTGGTTTCAGAGGTTGCTTTGGATCGAGAGAAACATTTTTATTTGATATATACCGTAGTAAAAGTCTTTATTTTCAAGGTGAAAAACGCGAACGTTTGATTTTTGATGAAAACCATGAGGGGTACCTCATGCTTTTTGGTCGAGTTTTGGCCATGTTTTTTTTTTAGTCCCAAAAAGTTGAGCAAAGGTGTCAGGAAGTTACTACTACTCAAGTACAATTGTTTGGCGTCATTCCGGTGGCTCAGAAAAATCTACATGTCAAGCTATGAAGGCTTGAAAGCTGTCAAATTTGGTTATGTGTTGCTTTATAGAGTTTATTTACACGGCATAAATCACATCTTTGGTAGCTGCAATTTATTGGAAAGGCAGTTATGTAGCTTGAGCAATTTATAATTCAAATAGGAGGCATATTGATTTTGGTAAAGCTGATTCATGCAAATTTTGATGCGCTATGTTGTTGGTAAGCTTATTAATAATGGAAATGAAAACCCGAATTTGCTGCTTGAATACCATGGCTTTGCATCCTTGCCGGTGGTTTTTATTCGCCTTGTACGGCACACAATTCTTTAAAATTTTGAAATAATATGATTTGTTTGTCTACTTTTTTTTGAATGTTTTGCAGTATATATATTAGATATCATGAATGCAAGCCAGAAACCTGATGATAAATAGAGGCAATGTGTCTTGAATCATTAACGATACATTTTATTTGGCGGAGGTATGAGTATGTCTGCATAGTTAAGGAAGACTCCAATTGTTTGCTATAAAGACATACCTGGTTTTGGATCTCATAAACTGGTCTGGGTCTAATTCAAAGTGAAATCAAAGCTGATATTTACAAACGCTCTCATTTTATCCAAAAATTGGAGCACATATAATACAATTGTGCTTCTATCGTCATGATTTGATACAAATATATAATTATAGCCGGCAATTGCCACCTGCTGCATGCCTTACTCATGATGATTTGCATATACAGTATATCAGATCTTCTCAGAGCCCAACAGATGTTGCGGCCATTGCTCGGTGTCCGGCTTTCAACATCTTGATTGCCACTACTGTTAGCAATGAACAAAAGATACCTTTAGAAACAAAAACTGTTACGATAACGCCGCTTTATGCATTCACTACTGCTGCAATATCTAGCAGGGATACTAGACACTGATAAGAAGATAATGTACATGCTTGATTTTCAGCATGAACCAAGAATTAGTGATCACTCGACAGTGCATAATTACGCCAGAGGACCTGGTCTAAAATCCAGGGCAATATCTGACTTGTTTACCACATCTTATTTTCTTTCTACCCTTTATCCATCACGCCAAAAGTATTTTAACTCTGCTTTTTTGAACGCTTTCAAAAGATACAATACTTTTCTGATCATTTGTCAAGAGTGCTTTGCTTTAAGGACATGACGATCTTTAATGCATAAAGGGGGTAGTGATCAGCATTCACGTAAACAAGAGGAAATAGATATGATAAATGTGCATGATAACGGTAATATATGAGTGCAAATCTGTTGTTGCACTATAGATTCTGTATGTGCTAATGTATGTTGATCAACTGTGAGCAGCCAATTCTAGCGGATGAAAGGTATAAATACACTCGGTCTTTCTTGTATTTTATTGTCCATCATCAACTCATACCCAACAGCAAAATGCAAATCAAATTCTTATCTCTTGCTAGTTTGGCCGTCCTCTTCGCCGCTGTTTCTGCTGCTCCTCCACCAGCTTCTAGTCAAGAAGGTGCTACTCAATACGTTGATGGTCCAGATATCAGTGACTCACGAAGAAGTGTTCCTAGTAGTGGTGATGAGGCTACCTTCAATGCCCGCGTGGAAGCCATTCAAAACGATCCTGAGATTAAGAACACCTTGGATTTCTTGATTCAACAAATTTCTGGAAAATTAAATGAAGGCTCCTCTCCCTCTGCTCAATCTCCCAATGGTCTTTAGAGAAGCAACACCTCTCGCCTTTTTCACATCCGTCAAACCTTATGCTTGCTAAACCTCTACACCGATTAGCCAAAATATCGTTAGTCCATGTTTGTAAAAGTACCTGGAATCAAAAAGTGTACACAGTTATTACTTTTGTGCAATAAAGTTTCGTCATTTTACTTTGATATTTTATTTCTTTCCAAATCTATACGATACTTGATAAGAAACTTTATTGATACAGCTTATTGTTGATTTACAACTCTTAAACTCGACTGAATATTACAATGAAATTGGCTCCATTTCTCCAGATTGTCGTTGTGGGAAATGGTTTCTTTGTGTTCTATAACAATTCAAATGGAAGTGGCTTTGAATGCTAGATATTTAAATAGGGCATATCTGTTTGTATTTGTAATCTTTTTATAATCACCTTTATTAAGTATTTTTATGCAACTTTTCAAATCGTTTTTAGTTTTAATGATAACGATTAGCATGTTGAATAATCCAATTCCTGTAGAGACCGCTACTTCAACCATCGCTTACAATCATCAAGGTCAATCATTCGTGAAGCCTACACTTCAGTACGCAGGCAATTGGAAAATCGCTCAAATAGACCTAACCAATGCCAAAAATTAAGTACTGGCCACAGCGAAGACCTCGTGGAAGCAGCTATACAACACCCCCAATTCTATTTGGCAGACAACTCTTTACGGTGACCCTCTACATAGCACCTTCAGATATTATACACAAGGCAAATTGCATATGTGGAGCACCTACAAACCAAACATGTCTGATAAATTGGGTGCACTCATCGCCAAATCAACTTTGGTCACTAGAAATGTGCTAAAGTTTCTCTCTGATTCACAAATGAAAGACAGGCAAGTCGAAACTTTATACATTAGCCCTGGGGCAAGTATCTTTGGAGACGTTTGCAAAGCTTTACAGAGCGCTGGCTACCACTTCAAACATTGCTACCCTCGAATCAAAACACCATCATCATACGCAAGACGGTAAATATATCGATTGCATCTATTAACATGGAAAGAGTGCCTAAGCATGAAATCAAACAATGGAGTAATGCAGACAAGGTGAGCTTACATGAACACCCAGTGACACATTGTTTAATGCCTTTGTGTAGAGCTTCACAAAAATTGTACGTTAACTTTCAAATGCAACACCACACCTCTGAAACTATCTATTGGGGCAAACAGGGACGGTACTTTGAACTGAAGATATTATACAAAAAACAAGATGGGCAGTAAGACCGAAAAATGGTGGTGCCCAAAATAAGTACTAATGCGAGATTTAAAATAGAATATTGCGTGAATGATAACTCCAACGAAGCCAATGCTACTTTTATCATTCAAAAAGTAGTTGATAAAAGTATTTTTCCAACTATCAGTCTGTTGTTTTATACACCTTTGCTGTGTCCTTATAATCTCTATCAAATTATTTGGTTCATTGTACTCAAGGATGCTTTTTTTCAAGCTTTCATCAACATTTTGGAAAAAAATTATCTCCGAGAAAGCTACTGGACATTTGCTGCTTTTGTGATATTGTATTGTAGCTGCTACATGGCTTTTAGCAGTTATATATTAGCTTCGTTTTTTCTTCCTATCAATAAAAAAAAAAGCCTATTGAACGGTAAAGAAGAATAGAGCTACATACACTACCCTACTGAGGGTGTGCAAAAATTTCCCTGACGGGGAATTGAACCCCGGCCGCGTCGGTGAGAGCGACGAATCCTAGCCACTAGACCATCAAGGATGATATGAGTGTGATACGTGTGTATCTTTCTCTTGGTTACTTGGCTCTATCTCGATTTCCTAAAAAGGCAATATACCGTATATGGAAAAGGCGCAATGTGGTGGATTCAAGGTATAATTCTCTAACTTATCTACTATGTCTTACTTGAAGGGTTACTCCTCGTTGGTGTGGTGTTCTGGTGCATTGACACACTCATATAATGTTGTAAAACTGTATGTTATCTCTTGATGGTGCGTTGATACTGTTATTCTAGTCGATGTGGTCTCTATTTGGTGTATTGCTAATCAATGTTGGTGCTTACTCAATTGGTGTCGCTTCTATTTTGTTGTTGTTACATATTCGTTTGATCGTGGTGCTTCTTGTCAAGTTTAGCCGAAATCTAATCAGTATTTGGAGCCGATAATGTTGAATCGATGAATTAGTCAGGGATCTAAATGAGATTGCGCGCTAATAGCCAAGCATTACTATTTCGAAATGTGGATTTGACTCTGGACTTTGACTCAGGATAGATGCAAACCAATTAATGTCGAATCGATGCAAGATTCAAGTGGAATTACAACAATGGAATTGGGGTGTTACTATTTTAAACGATAGGATCGACTCAAGAACGCGGGTACATGAAATTGACGTTAAATTGAAGGCAATCCAATTTGAGGTTACATTTGATCAGGGCACTGACATTCGGATCTGAATTGAGCCTGACAGGAGAATAACAATAGAACAATGACATATATAAATAGTATTTTGAATTGCATCTTAATAAACATCATCCATTTTTTTCTTCTTATTCTAATCTGGAGTTTAGTTACTAGTGCCAATCTAGTACGAACAAACCTAAAGAACCCTTAAATTCATCTCTCATAATTATTGGGATAGTTCTTACAGTCTTCCTTTCCACACAACAATACTTATATCTTGATTACCAACTACCAAGGTAATCATTATAGAGAGCTTGATATTTATCAAGTGTGTCAGATGCTAATACGTAGAGGTAGTATATGCAATCTGAGATCTGATCGAGATATAAATGGAAGTAGATATAGAGAGTGTGCAGGAAGATGTTATAGCCTTTTAGTTGAATGGATAAAAAGGTGCTTTATTAATATTAGATTTGAACATTGATTTTATCCAATATAGTTTGTGTAATGTTGTGCGCTATCCAGGTTAATCGCTGTTTAATGTTCCTGGTAGCTGGCGCTCTAGGTTTAAACCTGCGCTTCTTATTCTTGTTTGTGTTTAGTCTGTCAATGATATCCTGCAGATCTAAATCACTGTCAGAATACCCTTCAACCCTGACAAGTGTGTGTCGTCTTAATAGATAAATGTAATGGTAGGAGCTAACAAATAACTTAGAGTGTAACTAATAGATTGAGATTATGTTCGAGGATACTGTTTATTGATTGCATTTACAACTTATATTTATACCATTTCTACGATCGATAATTACTTAATCAATAGAACTTTCCAGTAGATATAATACTTTATATAGCAACTGATAATCAGATCAATGTCTGCTGCTATCAGTTTCCAGAACCTTCGAGTATGTGCTGGCGCCTTTTAGTCGCTTTCTTCAAATTTGGCTTAAGCCTATATTTAGGCACGACATGTGTCAGATGCTAATACGTGAAGGTAGTATACGCAATCTGAGATCTGATCGAGATATAAATGGAAGTAGATATAGAGAGTATGCAGGAAGATGTTATTGTGGAGTTTGAGGCTTGATAGACTAAAATTCATGGAAAAAAAAGAATAAAAAAAACAGTAATGTCAACTTGGTAAAGGTATGTTTTATTATCAAACTGACAGGTGTAAAGTAAAACTGAAGTCTCTCTACTGGCCAGGTAGATGATCCTTCTTATATACTATAACAATGGTTAAAAGTTCTATTAATTAGGTTGACAAATAAGTCAACTCAGATCAACTAATGTCTAATCATGCTAAAAGACAACTCCAGCAAGCTAATCATGATTTAGCTCTGTCTGGATGAATAATTAGACTCTCATCCGAAGTACCCTCCTGATCTATCCTTTCTATAAGGATACTTAATATCGATCTAGTAGCATGTATCCGATAGGTACAGTCTTACAGTCTCCTTTGTCTATATCAATAGTACATATCTGAGTGTATATCGCTAAGCATACATCTTTAGCATGTATCTGGATATATGGCATGGCTATAGCATATCGTGTGCATGTCTGTAGCATGTCCCATATATAGTACAAGTCTGTAGTACATAAAGTATCTGTAGCTAGTATCACGGATATAAGCATGTTGTTGTGCCAGAAGGGCTACAACTGTCTATAAAGATTAAGGTATTCTTGATGGGTAGATATGTCTGTGTTGTGCAACAACATGGACAAGCTATGATAAGTGAAGTGCATCTCAGCTATCTAAATACTGAGGTTCACCAGATGTGATAAGCGTTGTACAAGATAAATTGCTATTTTGGCATTCAGAACTTAGTATAAATAGAATAACTCTTGTCTTCATCAATAAATCTTTAGTTTTTGTGTCTGATCTTATTCAAATAAGTCTTTTCTTGTTTTTATAATATTGAACATTTTTTATAAGCTACAAATAATAATCCTTTTATTCTTTGTGCTTAACACACGGATATAAGCATGTGTCTTATAGCGTGGATCATAAAGTGCACATCTGAAGCAACAAGCTCATATTGCATTAATCTTGGTGCTTATCTAGATATGGTAAACATCTGTAGTCAAAGCCGGAATACAAGTATAAGTCTATAGCGCCATCCATGCATGTCCATGGTGCCATCTATAGCTTATATCTTATATAGTATGAATCTTATAATAGTACTAGCGTATCTGAAGTCCATATCTTCTTATAGTATAAATCGATATCGTACATCTAATCCAGCGTACACACAGTTTATATCTAAATCTGGTAACTGGATAAACTGTCGGAATGCAGATCATAGTGGATGTATTCCACAGTACAAAATGTTTTTTGATTTTGAAGTTTTCAACTTTTGGACGATCGAAAATCGATTTTCCAAATGTTGTGCCAGAAGGGCTACAACTGTCTATAAAGATTAAGGTATTCTTGATGGGTAGATATGTCTGTGTTGTGCAACAACATGGACAAGCTATGATAAGTGAAGTGCATCTCAGCTATCTAAATACTGAGGTTCACCAGATGTGATAAGCGTTGTACAAGATAAATTGCTACTTTGGCATTCAGAACTTAGTATAAATAGAATAACTCTTGTCTTCATCAATAAATCATTAGTT